GTCAACACCGTATAGTTGACTTAGAACAGTTAACGGCAGTCTTTAATACCGTGACATAAATGTATACAGAAGTTCTATACAATTGGTTAGATTGATCTCAATTTATCTGTTAAAATCATTTACTATGGTCAATAAGTCGATGTTGGTTACTTATTTTGTGATTTTGATTCCCAATCTTAATTCACTCGTCATAATTTCCAGATCGCAGTAGACTTCTTTAAGTAGTGTTATTGAATATAGTTAATACAGTTAAGGCGACTGGTAGATATACTTATGCAGTACCAAGAGTTTAGTACTGCATTAAATTCTTAATTAAGTATATAATTACTAATATGCACTACCTTAGGCTATAATACTTGCGTAGTTTAATGCGATTAGTTGCTCGTGCCCCGGCAAAATATGGTAGTTTAAAGCCCGTACTTAACGTGTGGAAGCGTTATAATGTTACCACTATTGCTAAATAAGTCGTACGCTAGGATTTATGAGCGCATGCAATGAGTAGATCGAGAGTTCTTCTTGTTCGTAGTTTGTTATAAATACAGTTACGGTTGTTTTTTATTGTAATAAAGCTTAGTTCGGGTTCTAAATCCAGTTAGACTGATTTATTGCAGACCCTTAAAAAATCGACTTACAATTCTAGTCAGTAGTAATGGTGGTGCTGCGAATATGAATGCTACGATATGCCTGATTATGGAGCTATTGGGATAAAATTTGCCATTGTAATGATAAAATTAAACATCAAGCCGATGGAATTTCAAATCATAGTGTATCGAATACGTTATACACTCTTGATTATGTGCTTTTTTGCAGCAACAGACGGAAATTATTCTGCAAGATACGGAAATGATGCTGGTGACGATAGTGATTAATAGGAATTGTTCATTAATCGTAACTGTAAGAATTGCATTATAACAGATGCTACACCATAGCAAATTCTTATTTTATTACATGCCTTTATTTGCAATGATTTATTACAAGGCATATACTGTATTATCAGAAGAAATTAATAAATCATAATATTCATTTAAATGATCAAATGATTTTTATTAAATGTATCAAAAAGAAATTATATCAAGATTTTGTCATTTTACTGTTGTTAAAGGATAATAAGTAACTCAGTGAAGTGCAATATGATTCTGATCAAACCTACTGATAGTACCAATAGTTATTTAAGACATTTGAAAAAAACAGCACTTTATTATATGATATCATTGCACATTGCACGTTATTTTCTGCAGATTAATTAATCATCATACGATCAATCAATATTGAATCAATTCCAAAATACTTTGATAATTCGTAAGCAATAGATTAAAAGCTTAATTAATCAAATTAAACTGTTATTATCTCGATTTCAATTTGATTATTTATTACCTTACAATCGGCTATTGGAAGTTGATTAAGATTACTAGTGTTGATTGCTATTTTAAAAGAACGACTATCTGTTCTTTTGCTGAAGAAAGAATAATTAATAGAATTCTTCCTTTTAAGAGTAGGGGCCATATGATATTTTAGATGAGATTATTTACGACTATAGGCATTAACTTTTACCTTTTATTCCATCAGTGTCCATCATTAAATGAGATGTGCAATTTCTCCATATTATCTATTAATTAAGATGATTGGTCGCTAAGAATAATATAAATTAGTGAAGAAAATATTAACCAACTACTACAGTATTACTTGACTTTTGCTCCTATCCACCAACTTGTGATACTAGAGGAGTCGGAGCTGCATGTAAATTGAGTATTACGACCAGCATAAAGGCCGAAATTATGCTCATTCTTTACAGATCTTGGAATAGTTATCCCATCACATCTTGTACGAAAAGAATCGATCACTAAATGGTAGCTGCCGCTAGCCCAAAATTGAAATCTTTTGCCTCTGTAAGAATTGCCGCGAATATTCAAGTAATCAACATTTCGACAATCCCCATCGCGCCTGTACTGTAAGATATCGAATCCTTCAATATTGGTCAAGAAATCGAATCCTCCTTTTCTATAAAAGGAGCCTTGCATATAATCGACAGGATTAGCAGGAAGAGGAAGGGAAAGAGAATTAAAATTACATGTTGCGCGCCATAAAGCTCCGCTGCTTGAATCTCGATTTCGATTGAATATATGCAACATCTCAGGGCGGCCGATGCGATACAAGGACCATTTAACCTGCGATCGTTGATGATTGATCGGAGAATTATATGTAAAAGCGCGATTAATTTTTGAATGACGAGAATTTGCTAGAGAAAATGATTCTATTAATGTCCAAGCATAGCCTGGCTGCGAGTTAAAGTCACAGTACACACGCCATTTTTTCGGTTGCTGATGATCGCAAGTATTAGTATCATAGATGTCGTAGTATTGATTAATTAATTTCTTATTTTGTACTTGTTTAGCAAGCTCAAGGCAAGAATTAGGTCTGGTTCGACAATATACTGATCAAATAATATAGACTTTGATTAGTAACTTCTTAGTATTTCATTTTATCAAGTCAAAAAATTATTAATTAATAAAGAAGATGCAGTATTCGGATATGATGAAAATTTGCGATTGCTTATGTTCATCAGCAATTTATAATCAATACTGTCTTAAATGAATAAAATAAGGAGAAATATTTATTGATATTATCGTACCAGCCTTTTCTATCAGTTCTGTTTGGCAATGATTTCCAGTATAGAAAGGAAAACATCGACAACTATAACTGCTATTGCTAGTGACTAAACACTCTCCACGAAGACAAGGATTGAATAAACACGGATCTAAAGCGAAAAAGCACCAGTCAATGATATCATTTAGCGACATAAAAAATTCACCATATCATTTCTATACTGACTATGATAATCGAAATTAATGAAATAAAAGTTCAAGGATGCGCCACAGTAATCCAAATGCTCACAGAGTGGCAAAACGAAAGTTGCCATCATGTTGGAAGCCCTTCTATTTCAATATGATGTAAAGTCTTGTACTATATTAGATCAAGTGATGACTTTCAAATCTGATTGGCTATCAAAACCTTCAGAAGACTACTTATAGGATTGGGTAGCTGATATAATTTCTTGCTATGTCATATCGACTGCAAGATAGGAATTTGACGAAAATGAAATTGGTATGGTATTCTTAGCTTTGTCGATTACTTTGTTATTGATTAGATGGTTGACTTTCCCTTATAAACAAGTATTTATAGACTGTTTATCCAAGTCATTATTAATGATTTTGATTATATAAACTTAAAACTATTGAGTACAAAATATTCAAAGTGTAATAGAGCAATGCATGACTTAAATAAATATCCATTTCAAGATAGACAGAAAATCCTATCGGAGAATAACAAATATTATGCCTGGACTGTTTCATTCAAAGTTTTGGTACATTTTATAATCACTTTTGCTAATTCTATTTGATTCGTGTCTGATATTGATAAAATTAACGTTGTTTAGATACCTAAGCCGTTTTACGGCTATAAAACTTTTACTGATGATTGACTTTGTAGCTTTCATATCTCATTTTATGTGAAAAGCTATCTCTGTTGAAGAAGTTTGCTACTGCAAAGTCTTACTTACACTAAGTACAATCTGATTACCTTCATACTGGCAGTTTAATCCATGATATCCATTAAAACAAGTGCACTCATACCCAGTTGCTGTTGATTGGCACTGTCCATGCTGACAAGGAGATGAGCTACAAAAATCTTTAATAGGCGTAGCAAGCATTTAATTTATTAATAATTAATCGATGATCAGGTCATGTGCAAGCTATTACATTCTATCTATTATAAAAGCTAATAAATAATATACCATAATCGGTGATTTGACTGCAATGATTGAGAATGCATGCAGAAAAGCGATCTACTTTATAAACAATGGATCCATTGCCGCAAGACTTTGTCTTAATGGGCATCGTTTTCAAGCAAGTTGAAAGACCAAAATGGAGGCATAGGCTACGATTTTTTATTGCTATATCATTCTGGACTAAGAATGTAAGGATTATTAGCAATAATGATTCGCTACTAAAGTGAAATTTCAATAAGATATCATAGCTTCCTAGATAATCGCATTTGATCATCAACAAAAATTTTGCTTTTAGAATAATTTAGAAGCTCTTTGCTTCAGTATTTAATTATAATACCTTGTTGTTGAGTGTTATTGACCCACTTGGTTAAGTGTTTGCAGTTATCTTGCAAATTAGCCTGATACCATCGCGAATATTCATTGTTGGTCGTATAACGATGACACTGATGGTTTATATTGGACAAAGTTGCAATATCAATTGCTTGAGTAAATGTATTATTAAAAGATATATGCCCGATGGAGCAAGGATCTACAATAAAAATAATCATTTATTATGATATGTAGTATTTTTATTAGGAAAGAATGTCAGTTTTGATAGGTATAAATGCTTTGGCCTATTGTTTTTGAAAAGCAATATTGTATCAATGAATAATTTGTAACCAAGTAGCTGCGGTTTTATGGACATAAAATAAATTTTAATCAATTATTAATACTAATAGCAGTATTTTTAGATTAACTTTGTACCGAAGCAGTTAAGATTATCAGCTTGGAGTTCAAAATCGTTAGAACAGCTACAAGAATAACTGGAAAAAGTATTGTGACAAAATTGGCTGCATCCACCATTATTTTGTAAGCATTCATTTACATCTGAAAGAAAAAAGAAATTATGATAAAGAAATTGATCTCTGCTCACAATAGTCACATATGAGTATACCGCTGACATATGATTATATTTACATGTTTTATAAATATAATTCAAGTATGCATTCGTGTATACTGTAAGCTTATATGCTTACTATAACGTAGAATTATATAGGAATTACAAAAAAATAGATCTCTACTGAAAATTCCATACATAAGTATTCTTATCACAAATATATATATTATATATATATCTATATATGTATTTCAAGTATACATACGTGCATGCTGAAAGCTAGTATAGCTTATTGTAGCGTAGAGCAACAAAATTAGATCACAGTTAATAAATCGGACTTTATTGACTATAAAAATTAATCACAGTAAGATATGCTCGTACAAATAGTAAGGTGAATTTTATAGGTTTAGATCCACTATTTAGATTAATTGAGCAATTAATGCAGCTACCAGTATCACAATTGGGACCAGTCATTCCTTGGGGACACTGACAAGTGTAGTTATTTATAAGATCGATACATTTCCCGGTGTAGCAAGGATTAGAGGAACATTCATTAATTTCTAAATAAAATAAATAATTAAGAAAAAAATTATACAAGGGATGATGGTATTGTTAAAAAGCTTTTAATCGTAAAATGAATGATTCTTGAAAAAGTGCGAGCCAGTCAATAATTATCAAGGCATCTTGCCGTTATAAATTCTGATATCGTAGTATATAATATTGCAATAGCTAAATAGCAGAACAACGACGATACGGAAGTAACAATTTCAAATCTACTTTACATTAATACAGATGGTAAGCTTTCTATGGAATGTTGGATAACTTTCAGGGAATTACGACACTTACTTCAATTTTTAATTTATCATTACTAGATATAGCAGCAATCTAAATTGCAACGAACGAAAGTATAATTTTAAGATATTTATTGAATCAGATAGGTACGTCATTGATTTATTACTTAATGAAATATTCAAATTAAAAGCATTTGTGTTAATATTAGGATGGTATGTTTCATGTGATCTTCTATTGGTTATTGATGAATGTAACTTAGATACCTACAGAATCCCTAATAGAGATTATAAGAAGAAATTGCGCGCTTATTGGCTTATTCTAGACAGCTATGAAGCTAAATATGCAACTAAATCAACTGGAAAATTTGGGGCAGAAACTGAATGACTAGATACAAAATACAATAGTTACCTTGATCACAAAGCTTGCCACCATAGCCAGGTAGACATTGACAAGTGAAATTAGCGAAATTTTCAGCATTGCATTTACCATATTTGCAAGGATTTGGATCACATGGATCTGTTAAATAATTTTAGTATGACGTCTAACAAGTCCAATGATTGCCGCAATAATGTAGGGCAATCAAATTATATGGATTATATTTTAGAATTAATATTCGAAAATTTGACTTACTTATTTGACTTGTACAATATCTGGAGCATGTAGGATACTGATATCGAGTTAGTGAAGACAGATAGTAAATATGGTATCCCTTGCAATTCTTGACCATAATATCGTGGGTTTTAAAACAGCAATTATTATTCCAATTAAAACAAACTGTTCTGTTGACTATGCCATCTTCAACTAAAAATATAGATTGTTTGTAATGTCGAAAAAATTGCAAATTTGTGAAATGAGTATGATAGATTTGTTAATAAATTATTCCTTCACAGCAATCATTGTCTGCATGTATAATGTACTATGCTTTAGCTTAAATATTTCATTAATAATCATTATTAAACTATGATACTCGTATATTAACAAAATTTAGTCATTCATTATTCTATTCAAAATTAATTTTCTCAAGGAATTATTGTAAATACCTCTTGGATGTGATCCATTAATCCAACCTGGAGATGAAGTCTGGCATCTTAATGCTGTTGGACAATGTGTTGGGAGCATAAAACTAACGCCAACATAGCTAGTTAAACGATACCAACTGGATTCAATGTTATTTTCATCGCAGTGCATAGGAATCAGGTTTGTATTTGTTAGTAGACGAGTAGAATCTTTCATTGTTTGATAGGTGCTACATGGATCTTCGAATTACGAGTATTTTAGTATTTTAATTAGAATGTTAATGCAATAATTCAAGCGAAAGAGGATATAATTACTGTATATCAACATAATAGAAGAATAAGAATCATTCTTATTTATGATTTCCTAAAATATGCATTATCTAATCACTGGCTTTGTTATCTTAGAATTTAGAAAGCAATTTCAAGTCATTTAGGTAGACAACATGAAAGCTATTCTAACTTTAGGCATATCTGAACAGATAGATGAAATTCAGAAAAAATATGTTGTACTGTTGGTAATGACAATGAGGTATAACTATAGACTTACTTTTATAATGAATAATAATGCAGTAATGATGCCCATATCTATCACTTCTAAGCTGCAAGCCGACTTACCAGTAACTAGGCAAGCTTACCTAAGCATCGATTACTATTTTGGTGATAGAAACCCGTTGGACATTTGCAGTAATAGCTGCCGAGTGTATTAATACATATATGCGAGCAATTGCCATTTTGTTGTTGACATTCGTTTATATCTATAATTATAAAGGTGTATGCAAGTAGCAATAATCATTTTGACAGGATTATTAATCAGTCACAAGTAATATATGAGCAATTGATGTTTAGCTGCTCGCTTTGGTATATATATATATATATATGTTATATAATTATAACAGTATATGCAAGTGGCTATAATTATGCTAATATGGCTATTAATCAATTATAAGTAATGTTACCATATTGGCAATGGTTCCCAGTATACCCTGTATCACACATACACTGGTAGCCTGGAGAGAGATTGATGCAGCTACCGTATTTACAAGGATTAGCATGGCATTCATTGATATCTTCAATTTTATTCACATATAGTAGTAAACAAATGCAATATGATCCGATAAGATTAAATGGGTGTTTATACAACCGGAAACCGCTACTACTAATCAAGACCATTGATGATTCTCAAATTTGATTTTACTCTTTTTACTAAATCCTAGAATTTATATTACCAAGCTGGCAACGTTTTCCTGTAAATCCAGAACGACATTTGCAGTAAAAATCATCAGATTGACGTAAACAAGAAGCATTGACGCATGGATTAGGATCGCAGTAGTCTATCAATTATCAAGGAATAAATAAGATTCAATTTTAGCTTTAATGATATTGATTCATTTTAAATATATTTTTATTTAATTTGCATTTGTTCAATAACTAATCTTTAGAGTTTATGAATTATAAGCAAATAAGTTACTAATAGAATCAGCTATGCTATGATAAAAATTTAATACGTAACATGAAATTTTTAAAGTGCACAGGATATTTACGGGCATATTAATCAATTAAGGCGTATTACAATCGAGAATATTGAGAATTTAGTTGATAATGTTGCTTACCAAAGTTGGCCGTACAGTATCTTTGGTATTTATTTGGTGCTGAAGGTAATCGATACGTAAAGAAATGTTTGCAGTTTTTAATATGAATCGTCCGATTCCATCGACAAATGCTATTGGCCCATGCAAAACAAACTGTACCCACTGTAATGCCTTGCGAAACTAGGTAATATAAATATAAAATCTCTTACTCTAGAACGGATAAAATATTTTAGTATTGGGTGTTACGTATAGGATCGAAATAAATGGACATTGTAAACGGATGAGAGATGATAGAAGTACGTATTCAGATATTGAACTACAAGCAATACCGATATCTAAGTCAATTAATATCTAGCACAATTTAATTAGAGATTATACCATGTGGATGATTGCTTGCTAACCATCCTGGCGATATTGCTCCACACTGAAGCATGGAAGTTGGATAAGTTACCAACATCTGACTGCTAATGTCGGCATTAAATCGATACCAAGTATTATTCATTCTATCATGATCACTTTGAATTTGGCTTTTATCGTTCCAATCAATCGATCTAGTTTTGTCAATAATTTGAGTATGATTTTTGCAGGGATCTATTTCGATAAAGAAACAGTAAACTTAATTATCCACTTGTATATAATTAACGATGATTATGTTTACCTATTTAATCATCAGTACCTATTGCACATTGTACAGTTATCGCATAACTATTTGTAATCGTTTACTACCTTTGCCTTTATATTTATAGAGTTACTCTCCTCATCTTTATATATCGATAGCTATAAATGTCATTGATTTACACTTCATAACCGGATCGTTGTAGTAATTATAGTTGTTAGTGTTGGTGGATTACTTACGTTACCCTATCCCATTAGCAATTTATCAATCACTGTATTGCGAAGTTAAGTATTGCCTGCTGGAAAATTTTATGGCTATCTATTTTAATCTTTGATGCCATAGATATCGACATTACCATAGCACTCCTTGTTACTGAGTAAGATATTGCCCACTTTGCAATCGCATCGGTAGCTTCCTAAAGTATTGACACAAATTTCTTGACATGGGTTGGCTTCGTCTTGGCATTCATCAATATCTACAAATGGATATCAGGAAATAAATTTATAAAAATTTGATTGATAAGTCAATACTATACTAAAATTAAGATTTATATGCGTATATCAAAGTAGCTGAATAAGTTTTTATTCGATTGTTAGCATTGTGGTTGATAATATCAAATTAAATGCTTGCTTAAGCTCATATTATGGTATTCTAACCTTGTTCACAGTTTTGTCCAGTATACCCAGAAAGACATAAGCAATGATAGCTATAGTTGTTTCTAAGGCAAAACCCGTTTACACAAGGCTGCCGTCTACACGGATCGATATCTAATTTAAATATGATCTTCGTATTAGTGCATTAGTTGAAGCTGTACGTCAAAACTGGTAAAGAATTAATAGCTGCGTGAATTTCAAATGATTTTAAAATTAATCGGTTGAACATGATTGAAATTAGTCAAAATAATGTAACGCACCTACACCAGTATTAAAAATAAAACTCAACGTTAACGAGTTTGATTCATCGATTATTTAATTAGTAAAATAAGGACATCGTGAATATCTTACCTTTCTCACAATTTTTGCCGGTATAATTTGCAATACATGTACACGTATAATCATCTTTTAATCTATTGCAAATTCCACTGTTAAAACACGGGTTTGGATTGCAGAGGTCTTGGTATTACAATAAATTTACCCATTAAAATCGGACAAAATATAAAATTATTTATAATTAGACAATATCTTAAGCATAATTTGCGATTCTATTACTTAAATATGGGTACTGCACCTATCTCACAGTTTTTTCCAGTATAATTTGCAGCACATGTGCAAGTGTAATCGTCTATTGATTTGTTACAAACTCCATTATTAATGCAAGGATTTGGATCACAACGATCTAGATATTAGATTGAATTTGTTGTCGAGATCAATAGATCGAAAGTTAATACAATTAGTATGCGTTTAAATTGAATTAACTTGGGTTTCGCTAATTTATAGTATCGTTGTAATCGTTTCCATTCTATTATAGGTATGCATGCACAATTTGTGTTAGCGGAACTAAGTCATTTTATTAAACCAGTGGCGGAATACAAATAATCCAATTTTATATCCTCTTGTAATTGCTATCATCAAGTTTTAAGTAGCAAATTCAAAGTATTCTATTAAATTTACCTAACTGCTTTGTACAATAGCGGCTACTGATAGGAAGAAGCGATGTCGATGGTAAGCGATAGACAATAAAGGCTCTGCAGTTTTTAACTTGGATCGATGCTTTAAAAGCGCAACAGTCACTGAAAAAGTAGAAACAGGCTGTTCTGTTGACTATGCCATCTCCAACTTGAAGGATCCAAAATAAAAATTATATTAATCATTAAACTGCCAGAAGAACTTGGCAAATGAAATAAAATTACTTTACGTAGGGACTACTATCCAATTTTGCTGCTCCACTTCTTTTAGAACGAAGTAAAGTGGAAAGTAGTCCCTGGTTAGCGCTATCTTGCTGATTATCCTTCTAGCAGAATGACCGCGGCTTTACCTTGTGGATGTTTACCCCTCATCCATCCTGGTGATAATGATCCACATTTTCCATAAGTTTCTACGCATTTAGTTAAAATTGCTTGACTATCTTGTCCACCATTAAATCGATACCAACTGTTATTGAGCTTTTCATCAGAGATGAGACTACTCTGTAGTTGTGCATAAACTGATCGGCTAGAATCATTTAAGAAACGATAGTTTTGGCAAGGATCTGCAAGAGAATCAACCCATTATTTGCATTCGATTGATCAATCTTGTTTTCATGCTTCAAGATGTAACTGCATTAAGATTTTTCATGTCTATTGACTAAACACTCTAACTCTCTAGTAAGTCAACAAATGATTTAGACAGTTCTTACAAATTGAATATTCTGATAAATGGGTACTTTCTTTAGAAAATGGATTCAACTTAACATGCAAACTACAAAATTAATAATCCAGGGTTTGCGATACAGCAAAACGTGAGATTTGATTGCTTATAATCACCATTTTACGTACTGATATAGGTGATCTTATAATAGATATCTTAGATACAGAGAAACACGGAGGAATAGGTTTTAATTTCTTATCTGTCTATGAACTACAGCAATCTGAATCATCTCAACCTATATGGCTTAGCGTACTGAGTAACATGCGGTGTAAGGTAATATTTTTAATATCTCTTACTTATTATAATTATCGTATTATCGTTTATAAAATAAGTACATTAGCTTAAATGCGTATGAAGAAAAATGTTTCTTTTCGCGTAAAAGACATACCTGTAAAGCAACAAGGCAAGATCAGCAACAGTAATACCTATAAAAAAGCACATAGAGATAAAAAATTTGAATAAAAAGCAGGTCATGAAATAAACTCTTAATTCTATGCAATTTAAATATTATCCAATATCGCAACTAATCATTTTGCAGAAAAATAGAGTACGAGATGTTAATTCAGTTTATTGAAAGGCATTTTAAGTATAGATTTCAAATATGCATTTCCCGGAGAGAAGATACATTGAATTACTAATGTTTTGTATCCAACAAGCTCGCAGAATTATCTAACGATGGCTGTATCTAAAGCTAATAATTCTAACCATGGACTGCAATTGCCATGGAAAGCTCATCTTTGTTTTCAAGACGTTTCTAAATCGCGTATTAAGCCAAGTACAAAAGAAAATTAAGTCACTTTCTTTCGATTTTCATCAAGTATCCAATACGGATTGATTGGTTTTACCCAATTCTCGAATAAATTAGGACCTTACAGAATGCATTGTCAACAGTTTATTTGAACTATTGGATTTACCTGCCAATCTACTACTTGTTTACTCCGAACTTTGATCCTTAGCAAAATAAATATGAGGAAAGTCTCAGGAAGGCTTATGTACCGCTACTCATTTAAATGATCTTCTTTTTTAATATCAACTGAATTCTGCTATAGCATTGTTTTACTTTATTAATATTTCCGATGGTAAATCATTAAATTTCCCTTGTAATGTTAAGGGATTCTTTGATGACTATTGACAATAGGCAGGCAATTCATGCAATTTTTTAAATTATGATGATCAAAAGATTCTATCTTTAAAATGGCGATGAAAATGACTATAAATTTTATTGTTCGCAGAAGACATACCTGCCAAACAACTAGTTAACATCAACAGCAATATAATCTACATGCATTCTAAGGACACCTAGTTGAACTAAAGGAAACATTGCATATCATAGACTAGCAGAAATATAGTAGAATAACGGCTAGCTATGACTAGCAGTATTCACATCCCTATGCCAATAGCATCAAAAATTCATCATGATTCTAGCCCTGTTTTTACTTGTCAAGGAGAACGCGTCTTCATTTTTAAGTTATAATTAATCGCTCAACAAATTCAGAACGAAAGAGATTAAGCTACTTTATTTTTATCGCTATATGACATTATATACTATCTGAATTTGCCTTCTTCCTGAATAAAGAAGCACTTTCGGAGTAATATTTTGAATCAGCTAGACCTATTTGCCCAACGCTTGAGCACTGGATATGCTGTGTTATGATCTGTCTTGGATTTTAGGAAACTATCATTGAGTTTATCGACCCATTTCAATGCCATTTTCTGCCTTGCCAATCAATTAACATATACTATAATTTCGCTACTGTATTGTTTGAATGACTTATTTAATAAAGTATTACTGATGCACTGATTTTATTCATAAAAATTTGGATTGGTAATGATTTTGTGGAAATTTACAAGCGGAGTGGACGGCGTTAACATTAATAACAGTAATATGTGCAAGTATACAAAGGTGGAGCCTGGACATGGCTGTAAAATAGTAATTATGGAATTGTTCGTACATGGTAAAGATACCGTAATTTTTAATAGGGCATCATTTAGACAGATAATTTACAGCCATTCGCAGCTAATGAATTTTGAAATCATTTCAGTTTTGTTAAAGGTTGTAGGCCATAGGCTAATCGAAACTGTAGTCTAATATTGATCTACTACTAAGAGTATCAATGGTGAGTATGAAACTGATTGCAAATCACGCTTATCCAAGCTGTTGGTAACCTCTGAACAGAATTTACAATAGAAAATATGTCTTCAATTTTAATTCTTCCTCTATAACTCGCTGCAAGGAAAATAGTGAAGGATGTAACAAGAACAGTAGCCCTATATAACCGCTAATTATAAATTAACATAATCACGCTGAGTTTCTGTACCTACTCTATTCCTTTATTTGCACCTCCTGTCTATAAAGTCAATAACTCTTTTGATTTTTTACCACCCAAGCATTAAATACAATTGGAGATTGTCTTTGCTTGATTTCGTCTTAGTCGATATCTCAAAATTTGAACGTTCTTATTATTAATTCTAAGCTAAATACCGCCAACTTCAAGTTACACAAATCGATACAATAATATGTAACGATTTGGCAGTTTACCAGCGGTTATGTTACATTAGCAGCAGCGAAACTTTCGTAAATCAGTTTGCTTTGCAATATTTCGTTTAGAAAAGTTTATAATAAATATAAATAAATAATTTCTAGTCAATGCTAAGGTTCCTATTTACCTCATATACTGTAGTAAACATATCTGCAGTGATGAGCTAGGCTTGGTAAGATGATCATACTAAATTATGACTAAATGAATACATCAAAAGTGATCATTTTTATCTCAAAGAATTGCAAATTAAACCTTATATTAATTTAGTTCGCTGTCTAAACTAACTTTGTTTCCTCTAAATCAGCAACGTACTATTCATACGCATTTGCCTGTACTATGCATTCCAAAAATTTATCATGCTTATAGATAGGTTTGAATGTAAATCTACAAATAACTATTCGTAAATGATCTGCCAGCTTTAAGAAGGATGCAAATGCACTAAGTAAAACAGCTAATTGATTTATGAGAATGGAGTTAAACAAGAAATTCAAGTCCTGCAATATTACCGGTACCATTGAGATACATAATCTCTGTACGTTTTTAGTATCGAACGACAATCTTACTGGAAAGAAATGAAAATGCTAAACCTTTTTCAGCTTTATTCCTGGTATTTATTTTTTACTATATATCAACTGCTAGCGTTGAATTTCTTTATTAATATTTATTTTTTCAGTTTATTTTAATTTATCGTCAATAGATACATGAACATGTACTTGAAACTAATGAAACATTACCACTGCCCTACATCGCCTACTTTACGAGCGTAAGATAGGATTGACAGCTTTAAGCTACTGGTATCAAAATTTTTGAAAGTTGAGGCAAAAATATACAATCTTCATATGTTGAGCAAGATTGTAATTCATCTATACTGAAGTTATTTGAACTGGATCGTAAATTGATTAAAAGTATCCCAACATGTGTAGACCTAATGAAAAGGTGCAGCCAAGACATCCTAGTAAACCGAGTCCACCCCAAGCTCCACGCATTCTTTTAGCTGGATCTATGGGCAAAAATAATAATTATTATTAGTGTTAATTACCGGTAACAAATAGTACTGATCTCCAAGATTCGTCCATATGATATCATTTACCATTAAAATGAAAACATTTTACTATTTTGTTTATTGCTAAGATGAAATTGTTTACTAGCTCACCTCCAGTATAATAGCCATGAGCATAAAATAAACGGCTAACAACCCAAAGAGCTCCACATGCGGCACTAATACGCTGTAAATAGTAATTAAATTTAATGAATGATGCAATTTTCCAAACACTGGAAAAATTCTTTCCATGTCATGCATAAATTATATTTCGCTACAAGGGTAGACTCAGCTAAAGACTATTAGTTAATATTTGGCTTTCAGTATTATAAATACTTATAACTGTATTCGATTAGCTAGTTTTATTTGTGATTAATAATAAGCGTCTCGCGATTGTCTTTAAAGTTAGAATACAAATAATTCCAATCTTGGCTGAATTATTCAAGGTTAATCTATACTAATTATTATGAATAATACTTACTGGGTGTTGTAAACCTCCAAGCAACATCATTGCCAAGAATTGTGAGTAAATTTCCAACCTGGGTGATCATGATCAATGAGATAAGAATTAAAACTTCAGTCAGGCTGTTAATACCTTAAAAATTTCGGTAGTATGCGTTTACGTTATCTAGATTGCCCTTAAAATATAACTATTACCGTGTGTAAAATATTGTCTGCAGTTTACTAATCAATCTCAAAAGAATATTGTAGGTATGGGATAGAAAGGATGCTTGGACTACGAGCCCAGTCTAGCTTAAACTGGGTGCAGTAGTAAAGATGGATAGACGTAATGAAGACTATAACTTAATAGCTGTAATTAATAATTAAATAAAATTGAAGTAAAAGCCATTAAAGTTGGTGTCAGTGAGTTAGTTTGTTACGTTCTCTCAACCACTAATAGTCGTAGTATCTGTAATTCCAATATTCTAATGCCCAATCGTAACAGCTCACGACAAAAGGATGCGTTAAGAAAGTTTTGGCGTTGGACCAGATTAACTACCGTACAATTTTAGGTAAAATCCATCTTATTAATCAAGTCATTAAGCCTAACAACGCCTTAATATTGGAAACCTATTCAAATTAAGTTCAGTAACCACGTAAATAGGTCAACATATACGTATATAATTGACGGATTAATTAGTTGTTCATTTAGGGTTCGATAGAGATTACATCTACACATTCTAATCCTGATAACTACTGTATATCAACGCTCTCACGGAAACAAATTTACACTGAATAATGATTAAAAGACACTGGATGACAAAATGAATGGACAGATACGTTCCTAAGAGTAGGATAACTTAAATGTTGGCCATTTTAAATCAAATTACTCGTATATGACCGTAAAAAGCACTCGTTAGCATCCACTGCCGTCTACATCTATCTACTATCGAATTAATATTGTGATTAATAAACTAATAGTGCACGGTTAAGCTAACATGAAAGAAATATCAAATTAAGAAATCAAGCAAATATCATTACCTAAAATATATTTCTCTAGTGATACTTGCTTGATTTATTTTATTGTAATTTGGATTGAAAATGGCGATCAAATGGATGATCGATTTATGAAATCAATCCGTCCATTCTTTCGGCAATTTTCGTACTTTAACTGATCATAGATTTTGCATTGGCATTGAGAAACGGTAACAGGAATAAAAAGCAAATTGCAAAATTACAATTATAGTCAGTCAAGTAAAATAGTTGAAATAAGGTTTGTTTCATCAAACTCTGTCTCTCTTAATGTTATCAATTTATTTTTCTGCACAACTTGAAGAATATTCCACTTAGGCAACTTACGTATTTTGATGGGCACGTTGGTAGCAGTTGAAGATTGGCTTGGAATCATCATACATTTTTGGATACTAGATAATGTTTACAACAAGTACGTGAGATGAGTAAAACAACTTGCGAACCTCACAAACAGTATCAACGAAAAATAGGTGAAATCCTCGACATCATCGAAAAAATGAAGTTTTTTAGTTCGAGCAACGAATAGACTGTGTTAGTGCCTACCATCATGGCTAGATACATCGATCGATTGAAAAATGGCTGACATTTAACTTTTACTCGATCATTATCTTGCTTTTATGTTTTTACCTCAACTCCAAATTCTTTACGAGCTCGACCTACTCGAATGCCCAAGTAGATCAAAACCAAGACGCTATCAGCAGCTACCAAAACACAGTAGCCATAATCCTGAGGTAAACCGATGGATGCCATTCTTGAATTCTTCCCTTGAATATCTAAGGATCAAATGATGTAATTTCTTTGTCGTAGGTTCGTTAAATTCGCTGTCAACTGGCGTTATATCTGCTAGCTATTGATAGTAGGTCTAATACAAGGTTCATTATGGAGCAAAGGATACTTTCTATAGAATTCAAATTTAAATTCTAAGCGTTATTATTGAAAACATTAAAAGCTTTGCCACAAACCGTTGGCCCCCTAAGGTATCACGTGAAGAAAGATTTGTTTACTAGTATAGTAAAATTTAAAAAAGAGGAAATCAAACAATATGGTTACTAGCCTATAGCAAACTCTAAGACTATATTATTATCCAACCAGATTGCTGCTGAAAAGAAAAGAAACGCTGACTAACCTTGAGGTAAATACTGTCCTATTGTGCTCAACTGGAGCTTGATGGTTAGATCTATTTGTTGTTAAGCCAGCAGACTTTACTACTATTTTCTATCTGTACAATGCTGAAACGGATGCATTAATGTCTGTGTAATAGATTAGGGACCTTTGAGTTCGAGATTGAAGTCTAGATACGTTATGTAGAAAGATTAAAGAAGTGGTAGGTATTTATTTATCTATTTTAACTAGATACTACGGATAGGGATGTATCAAAGTCTGTATGGAAGACGAGGAACCATTAAGTTGGAGATTGAAGACAAGGTGCGAAAATCTACATTATTATTAAAGCAGATTTCCTGCTGAAGAGAAAAGAAATATTGACTAATCTAGTGGCAGATGCTATCCTATTGTGCACCACTGGAGATTGATGGTTGGATCGATTTGTTGCTAAGCAAGCAGACTTTGCTACCATTATCAATCTGTATAGTACGGAAAGGGATGCATCAAAGTCTGATTATAAGATTACAGACCATAGAGTTAGAAATTAAAGCCCTGATACGCTTTTCATAAAGTTTAAAGTACTGAGAGATATTTATTTTCACCTACTCTAACTCTATAGCGCGAGAAGAGATGCATCAAAGTCTGTGTGGAAGATGAGGGACTGTTGAATTGGAGATTGAAATCTAGATAGTATAGTCTGCATTGCTATGCAACTAAATAGCTACTAAAGCGAGAAGAAAACACGGATTAATCTAGAGTTAAATACTGTCCTTTTGTACATATTTAAGCTTCATAATTAGAGACTGTGGATGCTACTAAGATAGCTCACTTTACTAACTTTTTCCAACTATATTAACTATGCAAGTATCTTATGGAAAGAAAGGCATCAATGTCTATGTGGAAAGTTAGGGAGCATCGAATTAGAGATCGAGCTTCAGATATGCCTCATAGAATGTTTAAATTATTAGCAGACATTTTATTTCCATCTCTATTAACTATATAATATAGAAAGGGATGCATCAAAGTCTGTGTTCAAGATGAGAGACCATTAAATTGGAAATTAATGTTCAGATACGAAACTCTACATTATTATCCAACTAGAAAGTTGCTAAATAGAAAGGAAACGCTGAAAAATGTAGAGATAAATGCTACCTTATTGTGCACAATTTGAGTGTGATGGTTGGGTTAGATTTGCTGCTACACCGGCATACTTTACTAACATTTCCCAACTGTATTAGCTGCTGTATAATGCGGAAAAAGGTGCATCAATGTCTGCATGGAAGATTAGGAATCATTGAATTTGAAATTGAAGTCCAGATGGAAATTATAAGGAGTTTAAATTGCTAGGAGACATTTATTTGATTCTACAAATAGGCTAATTTTATATAAATTTACTGAGTTCAATCCCATGTGTATTAGCAAGATTGATTAAGGATTACATACGAATAGCCTACGGTAAAAGATAGCATACAGTTTAAATTGTCATTAATGTTGATCAAATTTCAATACTATTAGCCGATGAGATTACGAGAGAAGATTTGAAATGAATTAGATAGAATTAGCTCAATTTTTGATTGAATGACTATGTTATGTGCCTACAATACTAATATAATTGGCTGGTATTCAATTTTACGTTTTATTGACTAGAATGATGAGGAAAATAGATGTACTTTACAGTGTCCATTAACTTGGACAGGAAATAGGTTATAGTTTAGTAGTAATCCAAGTCAAGCTAATTTTTATTTCTTAGATATCCAAAGCAAATCCAAAGAACTGTTTCAGCTGTTGAATAACTACAAATCAACAATTCTTTTACACTTTGCTTCTACCCCACTACACAGCATTAATAAAATGCACGATGAGTAGGAAAGGTAACGTAAATAGACTCCATGAAGGAAGAAGGTAGAACTTAATAATTTATCTTTACAATTTAGCGAAACAATTTCCATATCCTTATTGACAGTGAGTCCTGTATCTGTTTATTCTGTTTTATTCGATATAAATGAGATACCGACTGACTACTTCATAACAGCATCAGCTAGTAGATTTATTACGATTCCACTGCTAAGGGAAATAATACACGAATCGAAGTAAATGAAACTAGACTTGGTAGAAAAAGAAAAGGTCTAATCTCTAGTCAGTAATTAATTAATCCATAATTTCGATCTTATACCTTATCCTGCTGTAGAATAGCTTACAAAAATAGATGATGGCGTAGATTAGATTGTTAGCCGGTAGCATTATTGCAGTGAAAAAGTAGATAAAGACAATTTATAGCAGAAGAATGGATTGATGCAATAAAGAGGAATTGAACAAGAAACCAAAGTCTCATTTATCTCGCCACGATATAGATATAATAGGATCTCATAGGGTATTACTTTTACTATCCAGTCTCAGAGATAGGGAATTATAGATTCCTGAGCAGATGCTTCATTTATGGACAGAATGGCACAATAATAACCAATTATTTCGTATTGAAAAGTACTAACTATAGTAATAAATTAGAAAAAAAAAAGTGGATTTATTGAGAGACTGCAGGGACACCATTGCAGGGACGGTGGTTCGTTAATGCAGTAGCCAATAATGATTGGCAAGTAAGCTGTAATGTCTTCTTTATTTTAACAAGTTCAATGTCCATATCTGCTGTCAAGTAATACGCAGTACATTATTATCGAATACTTTAAGAAATAAATACATATCAAGTATGATTAGCTAGCCAGCTTAATAAGGAAGAAATCATTTTCATCCACAGTAGTATTTTCATTTTATGTCTTGAAGTTGGCAAAAATAGAACCTTCACAAGCAGAAATGGAAGAGTAGCTATGAAAGTAATTCAATCACACAAACATTAAGTTAATATTGTCTTGATTTAAGAAGGTCAAGATTCATTCTTATTTACTCTAGTTATTTCCTGTCAGCTCTTAAAGCCGACAGGATAGAACTGTCCTTAACAGAAATATGAAAGGAATGATTAAAATATCTAAATCTCACAAGCATTAAAATAACTCCGTCGTAAATCTAGAGGGCAAATGCATTCATTTTCGTCTACTCTATTATTTTACTATCAGCTCTTAAAGATGGAGCAAATAGGTATAATTATAATTATAATCAGTAGGAATGGAAGACTACCGTGATGATTAAGTTAATTGATTGACAACAGCAGTGAAATAATTATACCTTGATTCCGGAAGAGAAAAATATTCATTTCATCCACTCTAGTATTTTACTATCAGCTCTTGCTAATGGAGCAATACGTACAACTATCATTAGCAGGAATGGAAGACTACGGTAACGATTTAGTTAATTAAATCACAGCAGTGCTATAATTTTGCCCTATTCTCTAAAAGAAAAGAAATTTTTTTCATCTACTTTAGTGTTTTCCTATCAGCTCTTGAAAGCGGTGAAATATGAGGTACAACTATCATCATCAGAAACGGAAGACTATCGTAATAATCCTGTCAAGCGAATCATACCAGCAGCAAAATAACTTTGCCTTGTTTCCTGAATGTAAAGAAATTCGTTTTATTCACTCTAATATTTTCCTATCAGCTCTTTAAGTAGATGAACTATGGCCATAATCAGCAATAATGGGGCAGTTAGGAAAAACAGCAACAGAATCATTGCTGCAGTAAAGTAAGTCTGTCCTGATTTCATTTGAGATTTGATAACCATAACTACCGTAATGATAGCAATAGTAATAAAGTATGCAAGAATGATGATGATCACCGTTGTGATCGTTTCCATCTTGCCTAAATCTTCTACTGGAAATAAAGAACCTGCTAAATTTTCTAGATTGGCTTTAATAGCAAGTATTGCGGTTCCAGTAGCAGTAAAAGATGCCCAAAATGATCCACGAAGGAATTCGAGGCCATGTGGACAACGCCCATTGGATTCAAATTCCGCCACGGGGAAATGCAAAATTTTATGTAAGATATAGGCCAAGGTATAAATAATTGCTACTGGTAGGTAATAAAATTTCTGCTGTACAGTAAGCCAATGTTTCGAAACTGAACTTTCTTGGAAAATGGTTTTATCCGAAGATTCGCTTTTGGTTTTACCAACATGACTATTTAATTCTATGGCTCCGTAATAGATTGCATAAATCATGATGGATAGAAAGCGCGCAGTACCTCCATAACTTCTCGTCAGGATAGAAGCATCGGATTGAACACATTGCCTTGTTAATAAGCACTCAGCACAATATAAACCTTGTGGACTATGGCGTAAGCCAATAATGGCGAATAAAAATATCACTTGTGGTATATTCTGATGGAAGGCTAACACAAATGCTGCCAAGCTATTAACATAGCGAAATAGTAACGGTGTTTGTTTATGATATTTCAAGACTGTCCACAAGATGATGTTGCAAATAAAAACAAACGCAACCACTAATCCTAGCGTATAAAGGATTAAATAAATGATAGTGGAATAATTATAACTCAAATAATCATCATGGAAAGTCTGGTAGTTGATGGTCTGATTGCAGGTAAGAGATTTATCAAAGGGTTGTAGGACATTGGATTGATTTAAAAGGGTTAAAATCTCAAGATATCGATTATTGTCTCGGATGAGTTCAAATACAAAGATAGTATCCGCAATTACTCCGACTAAAGCCAAACTAATCAGAATAAAAAAATGGATCAGGTAGGCAGTGCTAACATTTTCATGGAGCTCCTTATCCAGAAGCATAAAACCACTCAAGCAATGAGGTAAATGATATTTCAGCATATTTTATTCGCTCTAGCTTTGGATGGGAATAAATCAGTGCAAACAGCACAAATAAGAAGATATTTAAGTAGTTGGGATCAGATTTTTGTTGAAAGAAGTTTCGTTAAGAGGTTAAATCTGTTTAACGGCTCTTTTATAGACACTTTCCAATATATCACGTTGCTAAATTGATTTCTTTCCAATATTCCGCAACGACTATAGCTAGAAAGAGTAGATGGCATCCGCTATAGAAATTAGATTCTTTTCGGAAGAAGTTTATTTTAGTACATATCTACTAGTGAATTTACTTTTCTTTTAAAATTTCTTTGAAGTCTGAGCCGCAAACTTAATTCCTTTTTAAATATAGAACACATATCCTACCTGGAAATCAGATTTCATCAACCGTTTCTTTGAAGGAAATTAGAACTATTGGAAATAACTAAATATTGCGAGCAAGTACGCGCATCCAACCAATTTGTTTTTACCTTTCACCAGTTGTATCTACATTAAAAAATTAGATTAAATTTACGCACTAGAAATAATTTTATTTCGGATGGTTTATTTTTAACAAATCGACCAATTAATTTACTACTCTTATTTCTTTTGAAAATTAGCATGCTAATTTTTATTTCGTTAGAAATAGCTTGAATAAGTTTACCTGATAGTGATCAATATTGTTAACAGCTTCGTTCTAGAATAAAGTCACTTTAAGTTTTCAAATCAGTCTTCCAATTTGTTTTTGCCTATACTAGGTATAAATTTTATCAAAAATTTTATAAAATTACCAATTTGACAAATGGTGAATGAGTAATTGATTAGGCAAAAAAGACTGATGTTTAATGTATTAAGCAGCGAATTTTCCAATGTGCCTGGCAATAAAATTAATTTATCGATTAGCTTTATTTCCTACCACGATCCTGTACGGTACATTTCTGATCAAATATTTTATCAATTCTAATAAGGTTATAAAAGTTTGTTGTCCATATTATTACAATAAGCTTATTTTCAAGAATCAATTTTACCTAAAAGCAATCAATATCATGAATGTTTGCTACCAGAATTTCGGATGAAACGACTCTCGAAATTTTGAAAACTGTAATGTTCAGAATCCTGTTTTTTCGACAGCTCTCTAATATCTACTTCAACGCAGTAATTAAACAGGGTCGATCAAATCTAAATCGATTAAAGGTAATCTGCAGTTGTATATTTATTAAAATTAAATAGCCTTTGACCGAGTAGGTGTTGTATGTTATTTATTTATGACAATATTTTAATTAATTATTTAGGTATCCTTTTCATCACTTCCTGAATTCGATATTCTAACCATTGAAGTATTTCTTTCACAATCTCTTTACTCTTAATTACCATCTGTTGCCAATTTCGGCTATTATACTTTTAAGTACATAATACTATAGACTTCATGCTTCAGTAATTTGAGATTGAAAAAGAACAATACCCAATTCAACATGATTAATAATAAATATCTCAATGGCAACCATATTCATTCAAAGAGACGCCTCCATATTCAATGATATTATATCACCAGGTGGAATACTTAAGTGATTTGGCAGTATTTTGCCTTAACGTTTCGCTAATATTTAACCGATACTCTAATGAAAGAGGCAGTATCCAAACTACAGTGGCAAGAGATCTGCTTCTGCTAGACAAGTGATTTACACTGATTGGAACCTTAGCTAGCGTTTAGGCAAGATGGCATAGTTAGGTATTCATTATACTATAGGATACTGATCTAATAGTATTATTAAAACTTAAACAATCTCTCTATCATTTTATAGGACATTAGCGATAAATTTTAATCTTGATCTATGCACAAACCAAAGCTTAGTTTACACGATTTAATGATGATTAGTAAAGAATTTTAATTTGATCGTACCTAATAATAAATACCAATTGGATCAATATTAATAATTTTTACAAGCAATCTCATCCTTTCGGACTAGCCAAGGATGAATAAATTCGAAATCACGATTGAATAATTGATTAATTTATAACTATATCAATACGGTTAACATCCGTTAACTTTGATGATACCAGTTTATTAAGAGATATCATACCGTGTTTAATCATTTATCCAATTGTCGCAAAAGTACTAATAATTTGATATAAAAAAGTAAAACTGCAAGTTTTCTCGAGCTCTCCTACTATATAGCGGAGAGGTAAAATTCTTAAATAAATTAACAATGTCTATCCGTAACTGGATAGCTGACTAGCTTGGTTTCGGTCTTAAATATACCTTAGAAAGAACTCCTTTCATTTAAAAGTCAATTCCTGAGATTAGTATCAATGAATCGCTGCTGTCTGCTCTAGCTCACAATTCATAATCTTAATTAACCAGATTTTAAACCGAATGAACAGCCTACCTGGTTATACGCAAGGAGATCTATCTTATGAGCTTGTATATAGCGGTTCAGTAACCTTACGATGATTGCCGCAAATGTACGTGGTTTATCCTGAAATTTTAGTTAAAACTCGACTTGCAATAGATAGCAGCAAGAAAAGTCCTAGTGCTTCAAAATCATTCTATCAGATCCTTTTGATTATTCTAAACATAATATTATGATAATTATGTCTAAAATCTACACAATTTAATCACTCTAGGGGCTATATTCTGCAGCTTATGTGCATCTATTGCTTTTAATTGCTATCTTGGTGCAAAAGCTCTTCTGCCTTTTGCTTTTTTATCGACACCGAACATCTCCTGATATAAACATTTAAGCGAGTGTGCGGATTCTGTAATTCTAGTAGAAATAGGCTCAAGTAAAACCGATAATTAGGAGTGTATAAAAATCAATGTCATTACATCTTATTGATTATCTTAGACAATGTAGTCCTTGTCGAATGGTAAAGTCAATACAATTAGGAACGTTTTAATTACGCTTCCAAAAATCACATTTTCATGTTTGCTTTTATAAAGACTGTAGGATTCTCTACTTTGCAATTCAGTAATAGGCTGGCATATTTTTGGATATAGATAGTCACACAATTATATAATACATTGATTTTACTTTTCATCAGCTTTTAAAAAGATGAAAGCTGCATGTCCATTAAAATTACATCTCATCTTTTCTTTTCGATTATCCTTACTGTTTTATTAATTATTGATTGACAAGCCTAGAAGAACTACGCACGAGCTTATATCACGCCACTGTCAAGAATATTATTGAAAGCATATGTAACGTAACATGTACATGGATCGAATTTTAAAGATCTATAAGGTTTTCCGTCTTCAAGCTCATTGATTGATATTTAAGATATTGGCCATTAGTAGTGGTGTAAATGACTTGATTTTATTTGAAATCAGCGTACAATAGTATGTAGAATTCAAAAATCTTGAAAATCTGGATAATCTTTCCAATTACCGCAGATTCTACAATTTTGATTAGCTAGCCCGTAAGAAATTCATATAGTCTTGCTATTCGATAGTGGAATATTTTTGATATGGATAATTAAATAATAATGCAATTCCTTACTTATACTGTTTTACTAGATTATTTTAAAATAGAATATAACAAGAGCATTAAAATCACTTTATCAAACCTTTACGATTATCTTAACTATTGTATTATTGATCGGCAAGTCCGAAAGAATTATGCACGCGTTTATAGTATCACGCCATTCGAGACTCTATGTCTATATTCTGTAGTAGATATATTCGAATTGCTTACCCAGAAATCTAAAAGATTTTAATCTTTTCATTCAAAGAATGACCAACAATTATGATATTGACAATTTGATAATTGTATTTATGACTTGATTTTACTTCAAAGCAACTTGCCATGATATGGAGAATTTGAAGAGTATAAAGATTATGATAGCTAATGTTTCTGATCAATTTTTTCAATCCTACTATTAATTCCTATTAACCTCTTTGGTTGTTCGATAAAATGATAATGGGAATTTTTTCTATCCATATCATGCATGCTTTAATCACGCAACTAAAAACCAGATTATTGATTATTAAAATTTGACATAAAATGGTCATAACAATGCTCTTTTCATTCCATGATGATTGGCAAATTCAAGATATTGCTGAGGATAGAACAATAATAGTCCAAACAAATTAGACTAGAACGGTATTAAATTCTAATTGGATGAATGGTCAATACTTAACCATTCAAATATCCTATGAATATTTAAAAACTCTTCTAGTTGGTTAATTACTGGTGTAGCTCATATTATAGTTTACTCACACTATGCCTATATTTTGTAGTAATACAAGGTCGGTTAATTCTAGTTATTCTTTGGTTTGTATTATATATTATATATTACAACAGCTTTAACGATACATTCTTATTGCCATGAGTATGCCATAAATTATGCGTATTTTTATTGATAGCTCGAAGTTAAAGAGATATAAGAAATTGAAAAAACGGTAAATCATTAAGATCTTGTAAAGATATCATAAAGTCGACCCGTATCGTTCCATATTTCAACTAATTCATACTATATCTGTTCTTTAGGTATCAATAATTAATTAATTAATTAATAAATTGTTTTAAATTAATTGCAAGTTAGTAATTCTCATTATAGAATAGTCTTTCATTATTGCCGTAAAACAAAATTTTACCTTTAAATAATTATAATCGATTATTTTCAGAAAAATTTTCTTTAAAACCTTGAATTTATATAGATATACATAGCTGTATTGGCTGGAGATTGATGGAGATACGCAAGAATCAATCTAGTCTACAAAAATCGAGTTATGTCTTTGGCTGCTCTTATCTGCAACCTATCATCGAATAAAGTATTTATAATATGGTATTAGAAATTGTATAAGCAGAAAGAAAGAATGGCTGTAGTATTTCCTGTAACTCGTATTATCTATCTTCCCGAATCACCATATCCAACACTTATAAGTATTCTGCTCTAGTATTTAATAGCAGTTAAGATTCAACTTCTATTGCATTATCAATCGATTTTTCTAATATAGATATCCATCGCCATTTTGCTTCAGGTGAAGATGCTTGGCATATCCATTCTCGTTTTGGCGTTGACATCTTGAAAACATTTTTTGCATCTATATGAATATAAAATATAGTAATCCTTTATTGCTTACTTCGATTTCATGTACGTTCATGTAACTAAGGTAACAAGAAGACTACCTTGTTTCTGTCATTCATGAAAAGGGAATTATATGATTATACAGTAACTAATTCAATATTTAATTAAAGTCAGCATCTCAAGACGATAGAGCATGATTTTTTGTAACACTCTAAGTTAGATGTAATGTAAATTTAGCTGAAGTAAAGGACAATGAGCATACTGTTGCAGAAGCCGTGTTCGGGCATTAGCAAAATTGCAGTTAGGCTATGATGGTTTCCTTATGTTCAAATCTGGATTTAAATGTACATGATCCAGTAATCGAATATTTACAGTCTTCCAATCAAATAATGTGCTAGGAAATCATGCCTCAATATCTCAAGTATTTACGTATAAAGCCCGAATTTTGTAGCCCTCTGTTCTCAATCTAACTACAATATATCGTAAACTTAGCTAAAATAAGGAAAAATTAGCGTACTATTACAGGAATCAAGTTCAGTCTTAGCAAAACTATCGGTAGATTATGATTGCTTCGTTAAATCCAAATTTAGACTTGAATATATATGGTCTAGCAATGGCTAGTTCTTATTGCTTAGAATGTAGAAAAAAAATATTTACATTTTGTATCGGCTACATCATCAACCGTTAATCGAATTAATGCCACAGAAACGAAAAATCTGCAAAAGGAACAAATAAAAGCTTAATTCATAGACAGAAAAAAGATATAGCTAATGGAAAATAAATTAAAATGAAATTCATCATATACATTATCGGATATCTCCATTAATATGCATTTATAAGTTTATAAATAGAAGATAGTAATAAAGTCACTTACTTATCTGTTTGTTCAACTGCTCGAATAAATGGAAAGTAGCGCGACTTTCGATGAGTTACTACTAGAGCATCGTTAAATAATAATAATCCAAGATCTTCGATAGGTGAATACAGCCTAAAGCAGAATAGCAGTTAAGAAAATCATTTCGAGCTGATAAAAGTACAAGAATAAAGTCATATTTTTGCAAAAACTTGCCTAGATTCTGGCTTAATATCTTCTTTATCACCGTGTATACACTTCAAATTTGTAACACATTCTTCAGTAATAAAGTGTCTATTTCCTTCAATCAAGGTCTAGATTGATGGTAAAGTAATAAAATCTTACTCATTCAAAATTATAATCATTTATCCGAACAAAATTTCTAATCTAGTATTATTATTATTATTGTACCGGGCAATTTTCAATTCTTTTTTGTAATGCAATCATTTTTCTATCTCGTTCTGCACGAGCTCTTGCCTGTATTAAAAGTAATTACTAAATTTAGTATTGATTGTAAATAATTTGACTATAGCTAAGTTTATAAGATGATGCTGCACCTCTGCAATAAAGCTTAAAACATGCTGTAATTGTTTAATTTGCAGTGGTAATTCCTTATGATCAGGATGATTTGGAGGGGCTTGATTAGCCAGAGCTGTCAATAATTTGACATAGCTAATGGTTTTCAAATTAGAATGGAAATTAAAATTAGTGTAAATGCAGTTGGTAGCAATGGTACTAATTCTATTTCATTTTAGAAATTTATACAACGTGAAGTATTCAAGTCTAGTACTGACCCTTCAATACGATTAGTGGGCAGGATTAGCAACTCATTTAAGCTGAAAATATTGACCATAAATGAACAATTAATATATTAATTTTTGTACTTTATAAGTAAAAGTTCTTCGCTGATCTTACTATTCTGTTTAAGAAAGCTATATGTACTAGTATGAATATTAAGCAGCAGTATTCTTTCTGTTATAAAATTTCAGTGAATATTTAAAATCGATGGAGTTGCGGCTTATATCATGTCAATATATCGACGAACTAATTGTTGTAATGCAATAAAGACTTACTACTAACGTTTACAGCTATTTACTTTTTAATTTAATGCAATACTGGTAACAACTCTAATGTACACGTAACTGAAAATGAGGGTTGTAAATTAACTAATTTAAGCGTAGAGCAATTGTCAAACCGGAAATAATATTATTGACACAAAGGTGTTCACAACAGAACCTTACCTAAGCATTTTGGTCTGTGTTTTCCGTTCCGTCCTCTTTAAAAATACTCGAAACCCTGGAAATTGTTCTTGACACTAAGATAGCCACAATCCAAGCATATTCCGTAAAGAAATAAAAGCATAAAAATAATACAAGAAGTTAAATTAGAATTATGTCTTTTTAAAACCTCATCAATAAGACCATCTACTGTGTAACGAAGGCTATAAAATTATTTCTGGAATGCTCAGTTTGCAAAAATTGGCAAAATTAGTCATAATTCCACGCCATTTTTAGACCTTAGATCCATAAATGATATTTTTATTTTACTGTCAAATCCCTAACCTTTTCAATGGTCGATAATGTCACCGTATAATTATTAATATAATTGGTATACGTTTTCAATTTCACAGTAAACTTTCGGAAAATGTCGCCAATAACCTATCAGTATTGATTGGTGATGATCAGTTTGAAGTTTAATTAAGAACTTAAAGTTGATTAGAACTTATCATATCTCTTTGATGAATACTTCGGAACTTGAAATAATGTATCGATCAATCTAAAATATACCAATACTAACTTGTTCTGAAGTCCACGATCGAACTCTAGGAGTAAGATCTTCTAATAAACCTCTGTAATTGATGAAAAGTGACAATACTCATAAGTCTGTAACATTTTAATTTTTTACAATCATCTTAGCCTCAAGAAAGATTCGCTACATTAGGAAACGACTTTCTTAGTTAAATGTAAGTTAGAAATATTAAACTATGCCATAAACTACCTGCTAATATTCAAAATTGCCAAAATATCGCCAAAAATGAGTTGAATGTTGGAGGAGCTAATTATTGGTCTATCAAATTTCAATTTCAAATAATTATTTTCTCAAACCAGTAATCACTTTAATCATAAATAGCTAAAATATATTACATAACAATTTGTGATTGCTTACTTGTTTGAACCCATTGCTGCTCTAAGTGGATTAACAAAAGCGGTTTCAATAATCTCTAGAGTTCGCATATAATTCAATTCCGTTGAAAATAATTCATGTACAATTAACGTTCTCCTCTCTTCCGATTTCTTGTCTTCTTCCTATATAACATAAAGTAAATAATTAATTCAGAAAACAAGAAAGGCATTTCTGAGTTGAAATTGGTAGCATGTACCGTTAATTTGTCAAGCTCAACCTTTACAAAATAAATTAGGAGACTTATTACAACTGTAAATCGACATAAAATTTGGACTAATTGTTATTGGTTGGTAATAAAATTGCGGTAGTTTTGAATGCTAAAAGATGTAGCATTAGACAAGTCAAACACTTATCCCTTCATATGTCCATAAGTTACTTTGATCTGCAATATTTTTATCATGCTATCATAAATTTAGATACATGCAATAGTCAGGAGAAGGAGACCTCTATTTTTTCTTGCTTATCATCATGATCAGTTTCTTCTTCTTCTTCTAGACGTTGATCTTCTTCTTCTGCATGGTCTTCATCGTTGTTGGTCTGCAGAATAAATAACAATTCTAAGTAAATTATACGCATATGTTGGATTTCACTAGCACCATCACTTCCGCTGGTACGATAATGTGTCAAATGTCCTCTTTTGATAGATGATTTAGTTATGCAAAATCGGGAGATGCTAAATTTCTTCTGTATTGATTAATTACTATCCTACCTTTTCCTTCTTCTTCTTTTTCTTCTTCTTCTTTTCTTCCTTCTCCCGTCGGCCTTGTAAATAATCAGCAATATAAGCCGCCGTATCAACTTTATCCTACATCCGGTAATTATAATTATCAATTTTAGAATTTGTCCACGTTCTTCTAGCAATATAATTGGAGAGGTAAATAATGATGATTAAACAACTGATAAACCTGATTTTCTGCTGACGACAAAGAAATTATAGCATCTCGAATTAGATTTCCTATCTTGGATGTTTGATAAACTTCGCCCAGAGACATGGCATCAAATATAATTTTGCCTGTAAGCTTAGAAATGACGTCTTTTCTTTGCTGATCGATGTATAAACTAAGGTGTTTCTGTACAGATTCCGATGCCTCCTGCAAGAATCAGCATTATGAAATCAGAATTAATACTAGTTTGAAGTAGATTTAATGACTACTCAAAATAGCTAGCAATAATAATGCTTTTAATATAGCATAAGGTAAAAATTCCAATGACATCCTGTACTTACTTTGACTTGTTGCGATACATAAGACCAGGTTGCTAACTTTTGTAAATGGAAATACAGAGCAGGCGGTGTAACTCCGCCCGGAGTTAAGAGCCAGTCACTATTTACTACATTAATTAAATATCGCCAAATGATTAGCTATTTAAATAAAAACAGGAGAGATCGCTTCAAATACCAAGTTTAAGTTAGTGCCTTACCATCAATAAAAGATTCCGCAACACAACTTGGAGCTGAGAATTGCATGCCGGTAATTATTCCTAACTGTAATATAAGCTCCATTCCCTCTTCTATATTTAGAATTGTCAATTATTGTAAATAGTAATGTTAGCCCGTACGAAAGAAATATTAGTTGTGTAGCTGTAAGTTTATAATGCCTCGGCTTAGAAACAAAGTTTCTCACCACTATCGGCAAGAGGTGTAAAAATATCAACATGACCACCAATGTCGGCAGCTACAACAAATCCACATAATGTTTCCCAAAATGTTTTAATGTCCGCTTGCGATAAGGATTTTACAGAGGTTGTTTTATCTATTAAAATCACGTTTAAATTTGTTAATTATCTAAAAAGAATTCATAAAAATTGCTTTGTCTATTAATATTAATGACTACACAATTTGCACCTCTAAATTCTGTTTAAGCATACCTGCTACTAGATTAATTTGACCCGGATGTTGATAATGGACAAAAAATCCGATACTCCTGATTTGCAAGAAGAAATACACACTTTGAATATCATGCTTTAACTTTTATATGAATTGCGCGAAAAATTTCCGTCAACTACAACTCAAACATTATCTTAAATAGGCTATGAATATCATGCCAGTTACCTAGCCTGTCTTCCGTTTAGAACGTAGTGCAATTGTTGGAGTAAAATTTCTAAAGTTGTACTGTTATAACTGTAGACGATTGGTAGAACCCCAAACATAACTGCTTCATGTAATAGCTATCCAGTATAAAATTTTAATTAGATAGAAGAATACAGAAGAGAGCTATTATTAAAGTTCTTGATCATAAATGAAAAGATAAACCAAATAAAAGACTTACTTCTGCTGCTGGAATTCTTGAGGATATAAAAATGACGCGAGGATTAGCATGATTAGGAAAGTTCTGTATGAAAAAGCAAATTGGAAACCAAAAGAACAAATAATAATTGAGTTACAATATGCGTATATGGTAGCGAATTCAGATACTAGCTTACCAAACTCAATGCTCTCAAATCTCTTTGATTTGTTGGTAGTTTTGGATAAAATCCTCCTGATAGATCATGTCTGATACGGGAATTATATTATTACGATAATGGTTCAATGTTATAAGATAGCCAATATTGATGGTATAGCATCGGCATTATGTTTTACCTTTTTGATTTAATGCGAAAGTCTCCACGATAATCAGTATTAAGCAATAGATTCTTGGAGCTTTCTCTAACAATATGACTCGACAAAGTACTCCTCGGTGATAATTCTGGATCTTCATATGGTGCACCAACCTTGATATTTAGTTTAAGATATAAAAATTTAAATTATTAGATAAAAGTTGATTTATTGTCTTGAGTTTGATTAAACTAAATCCTTAATTATACCTGATATGATTTGGAAGGAACATCTTCTATTTTTGATCTTCGTTGCTTCCCAGTAGACTTTAATAATAACGAATTAGGGGCAGCACTGAATGGTGTATGAGGATCATAGTCTTCGCTGAATTGAAAATGAGTTTCTTTAGGAACAGGATCTGGATCCAACCAGGGCTGACCTTCAACTGCTGTTGTTTTGAAAAATTGATTGGTAATTTAAGATTTCATACAATCATTAAATTACACCATATTATCAGTTCGTACTATCCATACTATATGGCTGATTATGATTACTGCTGGACTTACATTTCCTTGACATTTTCGTTGGACTTTTACTTCGTCGACCTTGCTTTTCACCTCTATATTTATGATCACCTAGTGTTACTTCGTTAAATTGTCGATACATTTCAACCTAACAAAGCACGAATAAGTTATTCGACACACAGCTCGGAGTAATACAAAAAAAGAAGAGATTCTGGTAATTGTGAGATACCATCTAGGTATAGATATCGCTCATTAAAGGTTACGTTAAGTTTCAAAGCGTCTTATGATAAGGTGTTGTCACTAACCACATCTTGACTTGGAGCTTCGACTTGCAACGATGTCATGCATGCCAAGTAATGAAATTTCCATGCTCCATATTCCCTACTGCTAGGAGCATAAGGAAGATACCAACCATATCGGACACATTTAGGCATCCAAATAGCATCTTGTTCAGCTAGAAATTTCCAATTCCAAGAAACCATAGCAGCTCGGCATAGACTTCGGGGATCCAAGAAAGAAAAGATATACAGCGAAAGAAATCGAGGCAAATGATTGGTGAAGTCAAGGTTTCGACGAGCAACACGGTGATCGCACCAACTTTCGACAAAATGCAATTGCGATCGTTTACTACGATGTAGGATATAATCGAGAAAGCGTTTTCTTTGAACATCAGACCACATATCAAACTAGTTTGATGAGAAAACAGAGCGAATGTTCAAGCAGCAGAAGATTAACAATACAGTAGACGTATTCAAGGTAATCAGGAAACTTCTGAAGATCAAATTACATTAGTGAAATGGAGCTCACTGTAGTACTAGGTAGAGTAATTTTAGCGAGTATTATGTTTGACTATTTGACTATTAGGATAAAATCTTGGACAACATTGCGGTTCACAATGATCTCCTTCCTACTTTACCATCTGTAGTTACGTTAAAGAAATTTTAGGTCTACCCTATCATTGCTAATTTACACATTTTTCATGCTAGGGCTTAAGCAAAGGCGATAATTTTGAGCATCCGTCATTTTTATTTTTACATAAGTCTGAAAATCATTTTACAAGAATTGAGAGTAACTAACCCAATGGCCAACCAATTCTACACGCTCTAAATATAGCTAAAAAAAAAAATAATAATTTAATGAGAGTTTAATAGATACAAAGATACCGATTCCATTGCTGATTATCGAAATTAAATAAAGATATTAAATCAAAGAAAGTACGGTATCTAATAGAGTCATATATATTAGTTGAAATGAATACAGTATTCGATATCAGTATAAGCATCTAAACTATCTCAATTTCTTTTCGAAATATGTAAATGGCCTGCAGAGAATTAATCCAAGGCTATGTGTATATCGTACCTTTTCATTTGCAGGTGAGGACCGAGGTGTCCATGCACTCTTTTTCATACTACTTACTGGCATATTTTCCATTAATTTAGTTGAGGATTTCATATTGCTTATCCTACGTTGTTTATATTAATATCGATGAGAATCTAACGATATATATTATCCGATTTAAATCTCATATCAATGTCTTTTTCCTTTTGGGTGCCGTTATTCCATCTCTCCTACGCATGACGAGCGTTGTTTCTATGGCAACCGAGCCAACTGCTTGTGACTAGAAAGAGATTGCGACCTTATATCGAGCATATAAACAACTGAACAACCTACTCTAAACGTGCATACTACCTCTTGGGTTATAATTCTCATAAAATGTTTCTTTTGGTGACTGTCATAGTGTCCATCTCTGTTATAATAAGTACCTTAATCGGGTCGATTGTGAGCTGTTCGGTCATCATGCCGTCTTGTATTGTACAGTAGTATATCATGCAATAGCTATCAGGTCGTCAGAAATCTACTCGACAGATTACCGTTAGAGGTTCTCTATTAGCTCTTAGGTCTATTACCGAAATGTTAATACACATATTGTAATGACCGAGTAATAGTCTTTTACTATTATATAAAGAGATTATAACCGTATATCGAATTAATGAACACCAGAATAAGCTACTCTAAACGTATATATACTACCTCTAGGATTGTTATTTTTATAAAATCTATTTGTTGATGTCTTTAATGCTGCACATGTCTGTTATAATATATCCTTTAATTGGTGCAGCAGCTAGCTGATGACTGTTTAGTCATCCTACCAGCTCATATTATACGTTAGTATGAATAGTGGCCATCAGATAGTCTGAATTTTATCCGATAGACCACCGTTGGAGGTTCGCTATTAGCTCTGCTGCCCATTATTAAAATGGTTTAAGAATATACTTGTAATAACAAATATTGCTGACATATTCTATCAGTGCGCGCCTAGAGATCGTACATTGTGGCTATTCACATTGCTCTAAATCTTATTAAATGTTCTACGCTTTGTTAATACGTTGGCCTCCTTCTCTTCTCTACATTTGCTCGAGAACTTATTCTACGAACCAAAACGAGAATGGTTTCGACTATTAAATTTACAATTAAAAAAATTGTGGTTAAAATAGTAAAACAGCCACAATTGACGTTGCTAATATTCAGTAATTCCAAATCAAGGTTTATTTGCCATCTTACATGATATCACAGTACTGTTTTGGTATATTCAGCATTCATGGATAGTAATAGATGAATGTGGTAATCACTTAATATCTGCTTGTAAGCCTTTGAATACGTCATAATAAATTGCCTGCTACTATTTTTTAATTTATTAACCTCCTGAAGTATATACTCTATACCACATTAACGCATATAAGGGGCCTCAAGGACCCCAAAGAGGTTTAGTATAGGCTCTAGAATAACACCACAGTAGATTAGCAAGTTATTCTAGCGAATGTGGGCGTGGAGCGATAGAAAGTACTTTTTGCTAAAACATAAGTGAGATTTCATACGAAAGTATTACTATGATTGACCTTGAAAATTACGATCCATCAAGAGATGTAAAGGTAATATCACTTAATTAATATCTATGCTAGATTGTTCATTAAATTCTACGGTTTGTGTCTTACGATTGTGTCGACAATCTCTATACTAGGAGAGATTTAAAAGTATTTGTGGTAACTGTTCAACATCGGGTGCATTATTGATGATCTAATCAACACTTCCATAATTATCCTATTCTTGAAATTTAAGATTTAACAAGGTAAATTATGAGTTCACGTCTATGTGTCTCTTGTTTGACTTAAGAAGCAAGATAAAAATACGTTTGAATTGAGATGGATGCTTTCTAGAAGAAATGACAGTATAAACGTAGTCACTATTGACCCGATGATACTGCTGAATAAACTAACTAGTAAGGGTTGCAGCAAAATTTGATGACGATATACTACAGTTCGACGGCAGGCCTCAATAGAATTTACACTTCAGTATGAGTGACTATATCGATACTAATAATTACAATATATCTATAGCACTAAAATATTGTGAAGAAATTTTTAACGGCATTTGAAGCTGATAGACAGAGCAATTACCTTTTTATTTTAAATACTCTAAATGGTATTTTTTACAATTTTACAATTAGCCAATCATGTTCGCTTTCGTAATAGACTTTTCTGTAGGACGTATGATTTCCTTACTATAAGAACAGGTTTTCAGCAATCCTTGATGCCAACCATGCTGCCTTATAGGCCTTCTTTTAATTAACTAATTATCGACTCAATGTTAAATGTAAACTGTTAAAATTCTTATGAAAAACGACAGAAATACAGCCGAGACTTTAAGGTATTTATAGACATTTTTTAATGTCAAATTCTGACGTTAGCTAGAGACAGAAATTGTACTTTTAATTCTTAGCTTAATGAAGATGAAATAAGGATATTGATCGAAACTATTTGTCACACGATATAAGCCATAGTAGTGAATACTAAAAAATTATCTGGAAATATTCTTGTAACAACTAGGTCATTTACCAAGTGACGACACCTTCATATTTATTTTAGTTACATATTTCTTAACTTATTTAGTCAGTTTTAACTATTGAATTATGATAGCGTATCGAAGTCAATCCATGAAAATAATATTTTTCTTGCTTTCCAATTCAGTATAAATTGGACGAAAGATTGAGTTGAGTAACGATTGATATTGTGCCCTTAGGGTTTCTAAACACTAATTCAATGAAGCTTTCGTAAGATGGTTAGAGAAAATATTTAGCATTTAATATTCAATAAGTAACGTAGAGAAGATTTAATTGCCTTTCACCATTTTTGGCCAACTTGACCTTATTTGATCCATATAAGCCATTACATAACTATTTTTGAAAAATTTTGTGACAAACAATACTGTAGTTATGGCAAGACCAATAGCGATACTTTTATAACAGATTATTTTGATGTCATTAGCTGTAATGCATGATTTCAGTTACTTAGTATCGATTTCTATACCGTAACGGTAAATTAAGCATTATAGTAAAAATCGAGTTTTTACCAAGGAAGCAATCTATGCTAGCTCTAAAAAGTGAGCAGCTCATTCTCTGATATAAAATCACGATGAAATTAAATATGTAGTTGGTTGCTAATAACTAAGTGCTAATGCGACGAAAGCAAATTTTGTACATTATATCTTACTACGAAAGCAATAAAAAATATTTCTTATAGATTTTACTTCTAAATAAAATGCTAACGGTTTTATCCTGACTAATATTGATACAAATAGCTGAAGCTTGCTAAGAATTGGATATATTTTTTGGCGAAATTTCGTATAATATTCTAATACACGAATAAAGATATTGCTTGCTGCAAATTCAAGTTTGTATGGCAGATAAATTTACGAAGCTATCTGGCTATGGCTCCAAATCTGGCAGTCAATCTAATTTAACATGCACTTTAAAACTGATCATATTGGGTAACTTTATCGTATTTAGAACCATTATCGATTTATTAACATTTCTTGTTTCACTTATTTACATCAAAACTTACCTCGATGTCAACCTGACTTCTATTGTATACGGTACCCAACCAGGTGATGATAATGTTGGAAAGTCTAATCTTGTGGAAAAATTTATTAATAACGAAGACGTAGCTTTTGTACCCAACACTATTGGAGGTAAAGCTAATAATGATCATTCCAATCTGCCTACTATAGAATGAAACGAATAATCACGAAATTTAGCAGCAAGCTAATAATGATATTCAACAGTATCAAAAGCTCTTAAATTCAAATTATATCTACATCATTGATATAAGAATTTCTGCCTATATTAGTAAAATTAATGCATTAAAATTTCATCCCTAGTTCACTTCATGAATATTAATGCTCATAACCTTTTAGCTTAAAGTGGATGCCAATACTAATTAAAAATGCATAAAACCATCATTTTAGTTGAATTTATTGGTAATCTGTTGGTATTGTAGCTAACTTTAGCCACAAGACCGTCCATCTGAAGGGTGTTACAGTTAAACTAAATATCTGGGATATGACTGGAAATGAAAATATCCTTAACATTTCAGTTTGTAGTGGATGCTGCATATTTAGTTTATCGTCATTGACGTGATAATCATGTTGTCATTGAATTCAGATATATGTTCCATACAATATCTTTCCTTAACTTTTCATTTTGGGTATTAAGATTTAAAAGCTTATCACTTGATCACTGTAGAGGAGAATATGCGGCTATAGTCGTTTATGATATTACGAACATGGTAAGTATTCATTCATTTAAAATAATTTTGACTTTAGTTATGCATGAAAATGATCTATCACCTCATAGCTAGCCTTGCTTTTAGGATTCACTTTACACGGCCATGGATTGGATTAAAGCTTTGGATAAAGTAAAAACTCCCCCAATCAACGTGAAGCTTATTGGAAATAAAGCTGACTTAGAGAGTAGAAGGATGATTAATCTCGAGGTATGAAGTAGAAGATATTAACCTAGGCAGGAAGCTTTCTTCCATAAATTAGTTAAGCAATCGAAATCATTGTATCTAATACTACTATACTTTGCTATATTAATAATTTACAGAAAGTACAAAAATACAGTCATGAAAACAAAATTGATCTTATGGAAACATCAGCAAGAACCGGTTTGAATGTCAACAAAGTCTTTAATACTATAATTGATGAATTCCTCATGTGAGAACTGCTTAATGTAGTGCAACTTAGATTCTACTATGAGAATAGTAATTCCCTATAATAATTAGCTATTGTCTTATTTTTATGCAGACACGCTTTTGCTACGTAAAAGAAAGTTAATGTACTTCTGATAATGCTAGCAATTAACCACGAAGTAAGACGTAGAATTACACAAGATAGATACTTTCGTTCTATAAATCTTACTGCGATTATATAAGCGTAATTACTTGTGGATATTTATTTTATTTATTGTCATAATGATTTTAAACGAAAATGTGATTAGAATGCAATAGACAATCTCTTACTCAACTTTATAGACATAAATGGAACATAACTACTGTTAGTGTGCAACTCAACGTTATTGCAGAAAATTCTTAAATTAAATGTTGTAAAAATTAAGTAGAGTGTTAGCTTTAAAATATGTTTGGTACATTTACAAACAATTACTTGGATTAATATTGATATTGAAATGTCATTTTATATTCTGTTTTTTGTCGTTACATTAGTGCCCTCAGATATACTAATCAGTAGATATTAGTTACTATATTTCGAAGAGAAGCATTTAATTTCGTATTTATTGGATAAAGCTTTCGCTAAAAGCGTATAAAAGCATAATAATCCTACCATATTTATAGTTATGTTTTAATTTTTTATCTAAATTAGACCTAGATTTAGGGTTAAAATTTGTAAAATCATTATATTATAATATTAAAAATGAAACCTATAAAAGTGCATTCAGTTTTTTAACCGAATATGTATTGGATAACTATTTTTCTGTTGGCATATTAGAAGGTATAATGCTAAGCATATGTTATTATACTAATTATAAGGTATCGAATTATAAAGATGATTTAGTCACTGCTATATTAAATTGCCCTCAGTAAGACACAATTTACCCGGAATCTAGGTCAGGGTACATATACATTCCTAAAGAATTAAATTTAATTTTCCTATATTCGATGTAGTTTATAGATACTAATTTAAACAGTACGATATCGAATTATACCGTTTATGCATTTCATGTAATTCTGCATTATAAAGACCACTTGCAATCGTGAGTCCGTAAGTTAAAGCCACTCTAGCTCAGTGATACCGACATAATGGAGTGTAAATTAGGTACAATTATTTTTCCTATTTCTCCTGTTGCATTTATAGTCAATGATCGTAATTGACTAGAATTTAGTGAATACCGATAGAATCTGCCTAGATATAGTTATTCTTCGCTCATCAATGTATTCATTACGGCGAATAACTATTACTAAAAAACTTGGCTAATTGGGGCCATTTAGCCTTTCTAATTCTGACTCTAGTTTTGTTAATTCGAGTGAGTACAATCCAGATATTATTAGCCCAGTCATAGCTGTTAATGACTAGATGCTAATAAATAACGGATTTTTTCAACCGTTTCGCTATCAATTCGACTCATTCGCTTACCACAGATTGGAGAACCAACTATTTCGTTGACGGTGCTCCATATCGTCAAGATCAGTGTTGTTTCTCTAGCTGAATTAGAATTTAACTCGATTGAAAATTTCGAAAGGTCGAATGGACCAAAACCAAAACTCAAATAATCAGGATAGAAATCATTAGCACTACTGCATGTGGGAGTTGTTTGACAGGGAAGAGAATAAGAAGCGATACTAACATAGGCATCAGCAAAGCCAATAAATTAATCGAAATAAGTTAATTAGCCACCAAGAACGTAAAACCGCCGTTGATAGCATCATTGCTGGTCCACCTTGAATAGCTTTATGTGTCATGATCACTCCCAAAGAGTGAGCGATAGTATTGGCTTTGGGTTTTCTGGTACAAGCTTCGACAGCTTGGATAAATCTTCAGATACGAGTTGGATATGGCAGGAAATGATATTGCAGAGAGAAAAAGAAAGCATTGGCTGGTCCAGTTATTATGGCATACATTTCACATTGATGATAGCGTCTAGAGTAAAAATTGATGGAATTGGTCCATCTTCTTTGTGCAACGATATTGCCAATAGCTTTATCAGAATTGCAACGGATAAATATCATCAAAGTCTTGTTAATAGCCTAGGAGCTACTTGCTCAACCACTAATACTGCATCCTTTACTTCGTGCAAAACATCACTTTTGTACCCATTATTGTCCAACCAACTTTGAATATTGCTTGGCAGTATGACAATGAAAGGATCGAGATTCCCCATAAACTAAGTAAATGAGCAGTATGGTGATCAGGACAAAAACTGTCCTGGACATTTCCCTAACAATTTACGTCTCTATCATCTCTCCATTTTTTAAGGAAGGAAATTAACTACGACCGAGGTACGGGAAAGATCAAATATAAACATTTTCGTAAAATAATATCTACTTAAATAAGTTCAATATCCAACATTATTCACATGGTGTAGATTATTTAATTAAAATTATCTCTATTGATTTATTTATAAAGTATTTTTTCCCTATTTTAAGTTTTAATTTGAAACAAAAAGTAAGATAATTAGAGTCAGGTGTTTTATTCTATAAAATTATAATTGTGTTTAACCTTATCTCTAATAACATATTACTGTGTAAAGTTAAAAATTTTCTTCATTTGATGTTTAATAATTACTTTAAAGTTTATGTAATTATTTAATATCTTAATAATTTTTCCGTTACCTTAACTGAAACTAGTTTTAACGGTTAATTTATCTTATATTTAGTTAATGATGGTCTCATGATACTATCTTATCCTTGCTAAATCATGCTGATAAATAAAGAAGGAGATCCACGCTAAATTTTAAACAAAGTAATTACTGTATAACAAAGTGAATCTTTAATGTCTACCAACACATTAGGAAGTTCATCATTCAAATAATACATGTTCGTTAATGGATTTTTATTCATTCAAGATGGGCATTTAAGGTAATTTTATTCACTATTGTTAAAATCCTCCACAATAAAGTACAGCAATTTGTGAATGGAATGAATTAATCAACTCCAAAACTGTAATCTAGTTGCTAGTTTAACTAATCTTAATCAAATAAGTTAATCCTTTCATTTCTTTTCAATTGTAGCTCGATACCATGACTTTACTACGGTGTGATAGATCTTGCTGTGAGAGAATAAATAATATCCTTTTTTTAGATAAACTAAAATCTTTGTCACTTTTGATAAAGAAATACCAATGTCAATATTCCACGGAATGTAGACCAATAAACCTTATGACTACAAAATTGATATAAAACATCATTTCAGATAAGCTAGAATCTACTGCAATATTAAAATGAAAAATCTATTCGATGTGTGTGCACATCTTATATATTAATTAATATCTACGTACAAGTATTTATTTGTAACGTTACCTTGAATAATAAATATTATCATGACAGAATAGAGAAAAGGATAGTTTCTTCAAATTAGCTAAAATATTTAATTAGGCATTTATTTGTAATCATAGTCGTTTGTAGTCTGACGCTATAGAGATGTAATAACTAAGATTTTCTAGTCCCAAAGAAGTAACTAAGCTTTCGCATGCCCTTTAAAGGTGCCCTCCTAAATCAATTTGAAGTCCAATACTGCTAATTCTTATGCCTTTTTTTCTGGACTATGTCGATTAAAATTACACTACTAAGTTATATTTTATGTTGTTATTTTAATTTCACAACTATAGTAATTGTTAATAAATGGATTAAAGATTTGAATATTTTGAAATAGATTTCAATAGTATTTTAATAAGATGGTGAAATCGTTCTGAAATTATCGTAAAACTGTTACATGCGAGTATCTAATATCGATCTAGCCGATCGATAAGATAAAATCACATTTAAAAGCAAATCGGACTAATGTTGCAAATGATAATGTGATTCCTAATACCTATAAATCGATTTTCAATTTAAAAATCGAATCAACTACATTAATCTGTATCCTTATAATCAGTGCTATAAAACCTTCTACTAGAAATTATCCTTCATATTCCTTCTGCTACTCAAACAATATAGGAATGATAGATTTGTTATTAATTAAAATATGATTTTACAAACAAAGTACGGCTAAATTTCCGAGCTGAAAATAGGATTGGCTCAATAAAATTTTTTCTCGATCTTAATGATGAGGTGCGGCAGCAGATCAATAAAGTAACCCTGGCATGAATTCACAATAAGTGCTAAGCGGAAATATGAAAACAGAATATTTGTCCTTTATTTCAAGCTCATAATATGATTTCTAATGTATAACAAATTGATTTTCAATTTGATCATCACTTCCATTGAATGTTATCAGTATGAGTAATAAAAAATTTCTACTAAACCACTGTTAAACGGGAACGAGAGCAATGACAGAGCGGATGTTACAGACTATTTTAAAGGCTCTTACAGGAAACTAATTTCTTTTCAACTAAAATCTACTATCACTTAAAAACCAATTTTCTTAAGCGAGATACCAATGGAGCAGTTTAATAGAGGAAACTCTGAAATGGGTTCGTGGTAGTACTGTTAAGTAGACTTAATTTGTTATTCTGACGTTACTTTATTGTACCTGTATTTCTCTATGAGACCTAAAGGAACTGATCTTGGACGCCAGCATTTATTTGGTGATTGGTAATGATATCAAATTGAACACTGCTAGTTAAGTCTTTGACACCAATATGGCCATAAGGTTCTGTAGAATAGAATTTTTCATCATTTTGTCCTATACATCGACTAGTTACTTTCTTGTAAACTCGACAGCCAGTTCCGATTACTTCATCAACTTTTGACCATATTGTAAAGATATATTCAGCTTCTCTAAATGGATCTGAATTTAATTGGGTTAAAAATTCCGACATACTATACGGACCAAGACCCTCATCCTTATAACCCGGATAGAAACCATTTAGTTCACTACAAAATGGAGTAATTGGACCCGATAGAAAGCAAGAAAATATACCCAAATTTGCACCGGCAATACCAATAAATGTATCCACGTAAGGTAATGGATTACCAAGATCGTAATAACCGCCATGATCTTCATCATAACCTGTGCCACCTTTAATTGCCTTACGAGCCAGGGTAACTCCCATAGAATGGGCAATAATATTAACTTGAGGGTAGTTTGTATAAGCTTTTACAGCTTCGATAAATTTTCGCACACGAAGTAAGTAAGGCCATGAATGATACTGTTGAGAGAAGAGTAAAGTATCAGCAGGTCCCCAAGTAATAGCGTATAATTCGCACGGACTATAACCTTTGGATAGGAAATAATTGATAGAATTGGTCCAACCGCGTTGTCCTGTGGCATTACCAACAGCTCTATCACTGTTTCCATGTACGAAAATAATCGGAATTTGATGAAATTTGTCGGAATCAGAAGTGCAACCGCCAAAACTAAAACCTTTATCTCGAGCGAAATTCTCATCTTTATAACCACGACTATCTAACCAAGTTTGAAAATGTTCCGAAAGAATAGCATCGTTAGGACTGATTTCACCATTTATGTGGCTAACTAAGGTTAAAAGTAACATCAGATAGATATCAGTCAATTTTGTAGCCATTTTCCGTAATTTTTAGGTCATCCAGATCGATGAAAGAAAAACTTTACTTGATGGCTTATTTATACATATGTTGTCATCGACGAAATTTAGACGGCTAATAATTGATGAAATTTAATTAATAATTAGCCAGGTTTTCTTTGTTCTGTTTTTCCAGGTATCTTAAAGAACAATTAGAAATCTATTTGATACTTATTTAGTGAGATCTATTATCTCGTTCATGATATGCTATAGAACTATTGCCCTCTTTTATAGCATAATTAATTACGAGTGGACATAAATACTTTATATAGCAACGTTAACTTGAATTTGGCTTATTCACCGTTAGTTTATAGTTAGTCTCCAATAAAACTAAATAATTTTGGATTAAGTAATCAAATATGACATCTATGAACAATTGATTTCAGAAGGACGTTAATTTATAGAAAGAATAAAACGCTTGAATATTTCTGATAATGCAATCTATCGTATGTTATTTCTTTGCTTATTGGATACTGGAAGCACCGATGGAGTTGTCAAATTTGTTATCGTTGTACAATAATATTGTTTTCATCAACATTCAAGCCATTACAAGTAACTTTGACCATTCTTAAAATGGATTGATCAATGAACTTTAAGCTCAAATACTAGAAGATGATTGTTATGCTATGTAATTCCATTAGTGATCCGTATAGAATGAGAATGTGGATTAAATCAATTAATTACTAAGATAATAATATTTATGTTTCTTTATAAATTACGGATTTGCTAGATATTACGTGAATGTGATCTTTTATTAAATTATCGATGATATGTTTGTCTTTTAATGTTAGAAAATTTGTGAATTTTAATAAAACAAACGCATTGATCAATAGTCATAGTTACTTTTGCTAATAATATGTCGATATAATTTTATTATCGAAAAACTCTATAAACAAATAAATTAATTAAGCCCGATGACAAGGGTAGAAGGCACGCAAAACATACATAAATAAAAGATTTTATTCAATAAGCGAATAGAGTATTAATAGCCCGCTCATTCACATTGAAATTAATACATTATCTAAACGATCAAACACAGCTTGATCATTGACAACACATTTCAACTGGTTAGTGATGATCTATAATTTACTTCGATAATAAATTAGAGCTAAACTTTATTCTTTATTCCGCTCTTGAATGGTTTAAAGCTATTTTCAACGTTATAAATATTATTGACCGCTGCTCTTAGTAGACATACAAATAATATTTTATCCTAGAAAAGGTAATTTAACATGTGCGGTAAATTTTTATCTGAAATAAATAACTATCACGCCAAGGCTAAGGTATCGGAAGCCTGGCAAATAATGGCACAATATTCTTCGTGATTTTACTTTGTTCACGATCAACTTTCTGTAAGTGTTGCATAATGGATGGTGGTTTTCGCTGATTAGTAATATTGTGGCCAATACCCGAGTTTGCATGATTTGGATGAGAAGTCTGTGTTGTTGATCTAGGGAGTTGGCCATCCTGAGAAAATCGTCCATTGAGAAATTTTTTATCGTTATTTTCTCGATGATAAGACTTATTTTTAGTTATTTTAGTAAGTAATGGAGGTTGAGAAGGACTTCCAATGGATCGCTTGTTGGCATTTAAATGAATATCGTGTTGATAGGATTCTCTGCAGTCTCGTTTACGCTTTTTAATAGGAGATAGTGATGGAATCAGCGGTTGGGGTTGATTGCCAGATCGAGCACTTACATTATTACGATTATACTCGTAGGATTGACTAGCTTTATGCCAAATCCTGTTAGAATAGTCCAAAACTTGGTTACCTCCATTGTGAGCATGTACCTGTATGCGATTTCGATTAAGACTACCTATGTCTGATGGCATTCTCGGGCTGTTTTGACTCGTGCTGTAATGATCATATCTAATAATCCTACTGTCGTCAAAATATCCTGCTTGAGTATCCATTGATTTGGAAGGCTTAAAGTCATAGGAACAATTCTTGGGACCATAATCTTTGCTCTCATCGTAATTCCTTGTTGTAGAGTGACTTCCACTCATTACATCCGGAATAACATGCTTTGCTTTATCACGATGATGCGGTATCGATGCCATTAATGGGGTAATTACGCTAGCATTTTTTTTATTCATGCTTACGCTACTTCTATTTCTTACACGACTTGATGACTTTCCTAAAGGCTTTTCTTTCCTGACTGGTCCCTTAGCGAGCTGGACATCAACCTTGCAACCGTTAATAACCGTACCACGAACACCTTCAATCGCCTTTAAGGCTGATTCCCTAGAAGCAAAGCAAATGAAAGCGTAATCGTGTAACTTCTTGATACGTTCAATAGAGCCATATTGAAGGAAGGCAGTGTTTAAGGTATCTTCAGTAATATGCTCTGCGATATTACCACAATAGACTTCTTTTACCTAATAACAAAATAATAATAGTATGTATATCGAATTAGAATTAGAATATCGACGAATTAGAATCGATTGATATAATAGAAGGAAAACAGATTTAGAACATTCATTTACTTAGTATGACGTAATCGATCAGCTCTAAGTAATAAAAAAAAAAAATGGTGATTGAAGGTAGTTCTGTAGAGCTTCGATGTTATTGACAGTGTGAACATATACAGTACCTTATTACCTACAACATGGTCTTTTGGTTCTTTAGAGGATTCAGCCCATTCAACATTAATCACCTTGCCAGATAAACTAACCGTATCTGTGATCAGTTTACGCCGAGCGTAGGTAGCAGCTTTATGGTCGACATATTCAAGGAATGCAAATCCACGAATTTTATCTTTTGCGTCAGGATCAGGATAGACAATGACTTCAGTTAAACCATCCGATAACTTGCTAAATTTATTATAAATTTCTTCTTTATTCATATACTTGGGTATTGGGCTAATAAATAGTCTAACGTTCGGTGTCGAATGTATTACAGTTAATGGTTTATCCTTTCGTATCGAGTAACCATGATATCTGCGGACACATTGGTTGGCAGCTTCTTTCGTTGTATACGAAAGAAATGCGTAGCCACGATTGTGTCCACTAGCAGGATCGATCATTAATCGTAATTCGTAGATTTTACCACAAGTTTGCAAAAGCGGTATTAATTCATCTTCCAAGGCATCATGAGGTATTTTACCGATGTAAATCTATAAGTAGGGTATGATTATCATTGTAACCTTATTAATTTATTAGTCTACAATAATATCACAAGCAGTAGAATCAATTACTGAATCAAGTTATTGCCTTTCATCACTGCAGACAAAAATAAACAGTATACTGTATATTGCAGTTGTAAGTCATGCTAAATGATCGCCAATATTTTAGGCCCGTTATAATACACGGAATACTTTAGTGATAGATCATAACTGCTATAGTAGAACATAGGTGATGGCAATATTTATCGAAACTGGCTGCTATAGAGCAATTTTGCACAATTTATACTGTATAATTTAGCCATCGATCATCTGTTGGTCAATGATACTAATGCAGTCCATCAGATTAGTTTATGGGTTGGTACAAATGCCTGGCTTTAACACTTGAGTCAACATGAGTTCCAGTTTATAGTACAAGTAAATGTAAAAGCCACTTGATCAGGTAATTATGTTGTAATTATTGCAATATCAAGTCATTACCTCACAATCCTGTGGAGGAGGACCTTGCCAATCAGATGGCGGTCCAAATTTCCTTTGTCCTGGGGTTATATCCATGCCATAACCTGTTTTCAAAAGTTGATGGATCTTTAGATTCGAGTTGGTTGTGTTGCTGATAGAATGGCGTAGTCGATGGGTTGCTAAATTATCTTCATGATGGGAGCCACTGTTATAATTCGTTGCATTACCTATAATACAGTCATTGGCACTATCGTTATTTACCTCTACAAATAGACTACGTATATGATTATACACAAGGAAAGAAAATGAAATTGGATGTCTCTTATCGATAACACGATTATAATTGGCTTTATCTAATATCATAAGTAGTACTGTATGCAGACAAATCGACGTTGATGACAGATTCATTGACGAGTAACAGACGTTGATCGTACTATAACCTTGAAGAAAAGAGTATCCTTACGATAGCACGACTGTAATTTTAATCTCTCAACATCCAAAACTAGCACAAATGATCTAGTTCTAAGTATGCTATGGACTGCTACAAGACTTTCTGGTAGTAGTCCTTGAAGGTATAAAAAGGGGGAAGGTATTGTTGGTAATCGTTATCATGACTGTTTAAGATAGATAGCGAAGACAAACAGGAAAGCAATATCAATCTTTGGGTCTACACACGGTAGAAAAATGGGGGTTGTCCAGAGGCAGTCATTGTTATGGCTGTGCAAGATAGATAAAAATTCGAAAGTAAGCTAAAGACTTAGACTGAAACATCCATTCAAGCACAGTAAACTGTTGGCACACAGCATATCCATCATCATGGGCCACTTTCAGTCCAGGCGAGCCCTAAGGTTGTGCCATAAGCTACCTGGCAGTCGTTGTCATGACTGTGTAAGACAGATAGCGAAGAAAAATTGGAACGCAATATCAATCTTTGGGTCGATAGAAGGTAGACAAATGGGGGTTTTCACAGGCAGCCATTGTTATGGCTGTGTAAGTAAGACAAAAATTGGAAAGTAAGTTGCAAACTTGGACTGAAACATCCATTCAAGTACAGTAAACTGTTGGCATACAGCATATCCATCCTCATGGGCCACTTTCAGCCCAGCCGAGCCCAACCGCTGTGTGATAATCATAAGCTATCTTTCTCACTGCATCGATCATCATTTCTAATGATCCTATAATGACTCCACGCTATCGATCGAAGAGTGAAAGGAATTTGATCCATTTTTAAAAGAGACGTACCGATGGACTTTATTGATGATGTCATGATTCCTTCTTTCGCAAGCGAGGAATGGTTTACCAGCAGTCTATCATCTGCCATCATGTCATCTGTCTACCGTTCGATCAATCCGTTATGAAACTGCGATGAATGGCAATCACTTGATTTCACCAATTGCGGTCGATGTCATGTATTAACGCTAATTGATCGATCAAATCCGCAAACATAAAGGATTAGCAGTAGTTTAGGAATCTAGGGTAAATAAATAAAACAGGCTGCAATGGCAGTTGCGTCTGTTAACTTTGCCTTCCGATAGGATTGCAGTGCAGTACCTCAAGTTAGAATACCAAGCAAAAGCTTTCATAGTCACTAGTTTGTCAACAACTAACAATACTGAGTTCTGGACTGCTAACAGGAAGAATAGTCCAGCAAGGAACTTAGCCAGGAAATAAAAAGTCCTCTTCCATGGTACAGTCGCCTATGTTGGTAACCTTGTTTTGCGCATAGAATCAAGTTTAATATCGATCATAATGGAAGAGTACTATGGCTTCTTTTTATTCGGTCACGAGTAATAAAAGTCAATATAATATAATGCCCAATATAATATAAGTCAATAGAAGCATCATAAGTTATAGAAGTAATATTGTTGAAAGCTTACTGGCAGTTCTAATCTGCTAGACTAGGTACTTTCTTCTCGCAAGTCCGCGTTGACTTAGCCAAGGCTGAGCAGTAAATATCTGAAGGGTCAATATCGATCATGATAGCTCTAGTTCTAATGTGAATTATTAATTAGTATTAGCATAAAACACAATTAGTGATCTGGTACAATCTTCTCGAACGATTGGTGTAGTATAGATATAGTTCTACCGGTATCCCTCTAACATAATAAGAATTGATACAGATTAAAACAGCATTTACAGCTAGACATGTTGCTTTAGTGAAAGGATATCTCGCCTTGATCATGCATCCAATCGACTCATGAAACTGTACAAAGCTTTGAAGTAAGCAAGAAGTCAGCAAGCCAAGTAGAGCTCACCTTGCAGCTACAATCACAGTATCGCATTTGCAAAACTTAACCAAAGCACTTTACTCCATAACAACTTGATAATCAATGATTAGCATGATCACATTATTATTAATACCGCAGGACAACAAAATAAACGCGAGAGCATAGTAGTCTAATACATATCATAACCTAAAAAATATGGCATTGATATTCAGCGATCTTTTTGACTTGATATGATTGCATTATGCCAATTTTCAAGCAAGATTGAAATCATGTTATATAGACCGTGAATGAATCAATGGCATCAATTTATACGTTATAAGATCAATGCTTAGACGCAAAGTAAAACCAACGGAACATTCCACTAGCATAATTCATAATGCTCGCAAGATCATTTATTTAGGCGATATTGGTTGGCAATAAATAAATAGCATGAACTATAAGTTACAATTTTATCATATCACTATAACATTTGCACAGAGACATCAGAGAATGTTGCTATTTCATAGGTTTACAAATTAAAACAGCGAATAAATTGGCACATAGTTCTTAATATCTAGTCAATACCACCTACAAGTACGCATATGCTGATACATCCTATTCGAAATATCTAGTTGATTCTTGGTTCTAAAGCAATTCGAATATCCGTCTCTGGGGAAGCTACCGTTCTAATTATCTGGCCAACTTCACCAGTGTTTCGGCATTCCACGCGAAATTGAGAAATTAACTATACACATACCGTTCAAAATAGGACCATAAGCATAAATTAGAAATACTGTATGATACCTTTGCAATAAGTCATAAGTCAAATAAAAATCCCATAGTTTATGTAAAATAGGCATTTAATATAGCTATTGGTAAGGATGCACTTGTATACTCCCTATGGTATAGCTATTGGTAATGATGCACTTGTATACCCCCTTAAACTACGGTAGCTTACCCTTGCTATCAGTAGCTGCATTTGCAATTCCGCTACGCGTCTACCAATGCACATCCTAGGCCCAAAACTAAATGCTGTATAAATATATGGGTCTAAACGCCTTTTGGAGGGCGACCTAATCCATCGCTCTGGTTTAAACTTTGTCGGTTCATCGAAAATCGATTCATCACAAGACATTACACAAAATCCAGCCATTATCCTAGTCTAAGCAAGTATGGCGTAATCATAGAAACTATTAGCGTGGAAATAAATGAAAATACTAATTATACCAAATATTGAATAGAAAACATATTAATCGTCAGATTCATGTGAATACGATTAACAAAGTTCATTATTGACATTTAGTTAGTACAAACTCTTGTTAAAGAACTGGGCTACTAATAAATATCAAATTCTGGATATAGCGCGATATTTTACAGTATTCTATCAATCTTGCGTACGCTCATAAGTTAACATACATTAGCGGGAATTCGATATCCAGCAAGGACTATATCCGTGTCAATGAAGCGAGGTACACCAGGGAGGATTGGATACATGCTATGATTGTTGAAGATTCATTCGAGACGTTCATATTAGAATTACTGCGTTTATCTTGAAGTGCAATACGCGTATGTTCATGTTATTTACACATACCGTTGAGTTTCTTTTATTAGGGCTCTTAAGTAAGACATCTTTTGAATAGCTCCACTATCTGGATATTCCCCTTTCTTTAATACATTGCTTACTTCTTGGTATAACTTTTCTTGTATTTCAGGATTTTTTCCCAATATGTATAAAGTCCACAGCATTGTATTGGCCGACTGTAGGGATACAATAGAGCAATTAAAAATTATACCATTACAAGTAAAGGCTATCGTCGAATTTAATTAAAATTCAAAAGCTTTACTACATACAGTACCGTGTATGCATTAAGCTTACAATGGCTAATAATTTTTAGATTGATAAAATTGACGTCTATAATATAATAAAGTCTATAAATCATATTGCAATCTCTTTATAAAACTCTATGAGAGCGTAATATTACCGTGTCTACTGCCGCAATCATCAAATCTATAATATTTCCTACGATTTCATCAGAATTTAATTCTCCTCGTAAAAGAACATAAGGTAAAAATTCTAATTCTTCACTGCGACGAAGGTCAACTGATTTATCAGCGATATCCTGCATAATTTGTTGCAGTCTCTGGTGTTCTTCATTGATGAGTTGCTCTGCAATCTCAAACATCGTATCCCAGAGTTGGCAATAATCTTTCCAATATTTAGTTTTAAAATACTTATAATATGGAGGTATTGGTGCCAGATCGTTACTTTGTTCAAACATTAAACATACACTATGATAAAATTTTTCAGCAATGGGATTAGGAGGATCTTGAAGCGTTCCAAGCCTTTTATTATATAGAATAGTGCCAATAGCTAAAGTAGTAATAAATTAAAGATACCAATCACATTAGTACTATACGTATATTCGCTTCAGTTGTACTATGAGTCTATCACCTCTACGCAATTTCGTGTATAATAGCAGCTATCAGTATAAAAATAATAAATTTATCAATCTGGAGCATTGTATAAACACTATTTAATCATTTCTATCGAATATTGATGGAGTGTGCATGCATTGTTACAAATTCACTACAGAATTCGATTTGACAGCAAGTATAGGCTGTCTCTCATCGCTCTTATTCATCATTACTGCTGCTTGAATATTTCGTATAGTGGCAATTTGCAAACAATCTATGTTCTGTAAATTAAGGATTTACAGTAGTATAGAATATACGTTTGCCTTATAAAATTGAGCATCTCTTCAGTATTAAGAAGCGAATTTTCAAGTCAATGTACGCGTAGTGCAAAAGATATTAGAAAGATTTAATATAGACTTATTTGGTAAATACTGATTGTAACTTTCAATATCAATAAATGAACAGAATCTTAATCCTTACTTTCAAAAGACCATTTGTATAAGCAGTCTCTCAGATTGCTGATTTCTCCATTTAGGTCATCTTCCAGTTGTTTCTTAGTTAAATAGTTGATTAAATCCGTAATGACATCATTCATTCTACCACTGTATGCACTAACATCTTTGACTTTTAAAAGCTTTTTATCCAAAATGCTTCTAAATCTTCGCCACTCTTCCCCTTCGCTACGCGTATAGTAAGAAAGTAAACAGAATTAAACGTTTTACTTGCCTATGAACTGTTTCGTTGCACCGGATAGATAATATGCATATAGAGGGAAGAAAGCAAATAATTTACTTAAAATAGTACCATACTTACCATAGAGTACGATTTTCCTTTTAAAATAAACATTGACAGCAAATGATACTATTACAGTAGTCACTGAAGGAATATTAATCCATAAGGCCAGTATTGCAAGTTCGATCTATTGTTATCGCAATGATTCCTCACTAACCTAATTAAAAGACCTTTAGCTTTCTTTCTCTGTTCTCTATAAGTAGTCTATGGTACAGAAGGACCTCGATAAGGTGATCTTCCCTCAGCTTGATATAATTTAGCAACATCTTCTGGTTTATACACAAGCACGTACTCGAAATTACCCATTTTATCTTTATGGATTCGACCATATTTTTTAGCATTCATAATCATGTATAAATGTGTTTTCTTTATATAATATCCATCATTTTTAAGTACAGTCAGTAAAGAGCCAATCAAGGGTAAACCCTTGGGTCCAGGTATTTCACTGAATGGCTTCACTTCGACAGATTCATTATTACCATTTGGTTTATGGTCTAAATTCCCAACTGCTGTCGATTGGTTTACAATTCCATTAACAGCTATTACACGAAGTGCAAGGCATGATCGAAGTGAAATTTTTCGGAAGCCTATTAACATCTTGTTCTTAACCAAATACGGCACTATTATTTATAGAAGTAGAAAATACATTAAATCGATTCAAAACAACGACTAATGGTAGCTATCTACTTCAAGAGCCATTCGATCTTACACAGTCGTTTACTAGTAAAAGTTTCTAATCTATGAAAGCCATCGGTGTAGTATATACCATTAAATGGGTATGACCTCACCCCTAAAATTAGGAATTTCCTTTTGGAAGAATTTGACATTAAGTAAAATTATAAATTGTCGAATTGAATAGAAAAACAGAGAGATTTAGAATAGTACTTGTATAGGCATTTTATATTTATTTGATTGCCTTGACACTACTAATGCACATCCTTGGCCCAAAACTAAAAGTTGTAAAAGTGTAAGGATCCAAGCGACGTTTAGAGGACGACCTCATCCACCGTTCTGGCTTAATCTTTGTAGGCTCGTCATGAATTGATTCATCATAAGACATCGCACTAAATCCAGCTAGTACCCTAGTCTACGAGTGTGCAACATTATCGAACTAATATTTTGATTTTAAAAGTTTAAATATAAATAGCTTACGCAAAGTACGAGTATTAATTATGTCAACGATTAATTAATTTAAAACTTTTGCTAAGAATTACACTGCCACAGTTAAAGGTCTATCATTGAAATTCGAAAAAGAGATTTATTAAGAAATTCACTAGAAATTTCATAATCAGCCATAGTATGACTTATTGCATATAATTTCTATCTTACATCAGCTCATATTTTGCATGAGCTATTGAACATACTTTGGCAGGAATTTGATATCCACCCAGTACTATGTCCTTCTCAACCAAGCGCGGTACTATTGGGATGAATGAATACTGTACGTACTTTTATTTCCATATAAAAGCATCATTCCAGATCATAATGTTAGAAGTATTTGCATTAACCTTTACTAAAATCAATCTATAATATTCACATACCGTTGACTTTCTATTATCAGAACTCTTAAATAAGGCATCTGTTGAATAGCTGTACTATCTGGATATTCTCCTTTCTTTAATATATGACTTACTTCTTGATGTAACTTTTCTTGTATATCAAGATTTTTTCCTAATATGTACAAAGTCCATAGCTTTATGTTGGCCGACTGTATGGAAACGATTTCGCAATTAATGAAGATACAAGTAAAAGTCAAGATTGCGATCCAATATGATTGACATACCGCAATATTTAGCCACATAAATGTATTAATGTATCAATTAAACTTGCAGTTATCAAAAATATTAAATTATATAATGTTGACGTCTACAATAAAATCTTTAAATCTTATTGCAATCCATCTATGCTACTCTATGTTAATATAATGTTACCGTGTCTACTCCTCCAATCATTAAGTCTATAATATTTCCCAAAATTTCATCAAAATTTCATTCTCCTCGTAATAAGATATAGGGTAAAAATTCTAGTTCTTCACTTGGATTATGATCAACTGATTTATCAACATTTTTCTTCATAAATTGCGGCAATCTATGATGTTCTTCGGTGATAAGCTGCTCAGTAACCTCAAACATAGTATTACAGAGTTGGCAATAATTTTTCCTATAACTAGTTTTAAAATATTTGACATAAGGAGGTAATGGTGATGGAGCATTACTTTGATCGAACATTAAACATACACTACGATAAATTTTTCAGCAACAGGATTAGGAGGATCTTGAAATGTTCCAAGTTTTCTGTTATAAAGTAGAGCGCCAGCAGCTTTGGTGGTAACAAGTAATCAGAATTAAATTACTACTAGTTACTCAATTCTGTTAGAGCCTATTTAAAACTTCACAATTTCATGTATAGTAGCATTGAACATCATCAATATTGCTCTGTCATTATTATTCTAAATACCTGGTGGCATTGTATGATAGTTCGTAATGACTATACCGCCATGATTTGACTTTACATCAAGTACATGCTATCGGTATTTACTCTTATCCGCCATTTACAGCAATTTAAACACTTCTGACCATAGCAACCAGTAATCTGAAATGTCTAATTTAGGTCATTGACTACGATGCTACTTTAGTGACAAGACTTTTGCAGTACTGTAATATCGTGAAATGCCATAGGTTTTTATGCTAGTACAATACTATAAGGCGATAGAAATGTTCAATATCAACTCGTTTGATATATAACATAACATATATATATATAATTTTAAATGTTATCAGGTGATTTCTACTTGTAAGTAAGCAAAAGAACTGTCGATATTGGATTTAGTTTGTTACTCCGGTACTTTACTATAGGATATCTAGTTTGTACGCTAAAACTAAACAAATTTACTTCTAGCCTACGTTGCACCTAATCCTTATGTATGCTAAACCAGATAGTAGTAACCACCAATACAGTGACATCGTACGATTATTCACTATTAAATATAATGAACAAATGCTCACTTTTAAAAGACCATTTGTAAATGCAATCTTGCAGATCTTTGATCTCTCCGTCTACGTTGTCTTCTCATTGCTTTTTATTTAAATACGGAATAAAATCGGTAATATCATCGTTCATTCTAGCGCTGTATCTACTGACATCTTAAACTTTTAAAAGCTTTTTATCTAATACGCTTCTGAATCTCCGCCATTCTTCACCTTCTCTATAAAGAGAACGTTTACAGGATAAGTTTAATCTATCGAATTATTAGGTGCTAATCATAATCTATGATTGTGAACATAATGCCAGCCAGACTACAGTTTCCTTCCGATAAAGCTTTCGATGGCAAACTGTACTATCGATCAATTAATTATTAATTACTCTCAATTTGCTAGATTGTGCATGATTACAATATACAGTAATATTTATCGGTAGATAAATATTACTGATCTATTTATTATTATTACTGATCTATTTTCCGATCTAGATAAATCCACGGTTCGCTACAAAGATTAATAAGACAATCGTGTTTACACTAATTCTATGTTGTATTGAAGTATACAGTATACCCCGTTTACACCCTTGCCACTATACTTCTTAGTTCGAGATGATCATTATTGAAACAGTTACTAAGAGTAGGGAGTTATTAACTATTTTTACATCAACTTTGCTGAAATGTACAATTGCGGTCTTCTATACTCTTTGAGAGTAGTGCAAAACTTGGATATTCAGTGGTTAGTGTTTCAGTTACTTTAGAAAGTGATGCAAAACACTATCTTGTCTGTCATTGAAGAAATCGGAAAATACAAAGTAATAATAACGTGTGTACGGTATTGAAGTTCAAAGCTCTTCTCGAGATGACTACAAACTAACCCAATTAAAATTCCTTTAGCTTTCTTCCTCTGTTCTCTATAAATAGACCACGGTCGGGAAGGACCACAAAAAGGAAATCTTATAAGTTAAATAGCTTTAGGAAATAAATTAGCATAACAATTTATTATTTATCAACTAATTAAGTCGTTTTACAGAGGCAGAATCGATTTCTTGGCTGAATGCAGTGAATACAATACATTTTAACTATATGTTTGCAAATAGATAAAAAGTACATCGCCGCATCACAAGCATAACCTTAATTAATGATTGTGAACGAGTGAAATTATTAATTGTTAATTTGATTTTACATACTCGTACAAACAGCAGCTTCCTGACTGAAAATACTGCTCGCTTAGTCTTCTAACATATAGTCGTAGAATTATAAGTGAAGAGCATATCCTAATTCATATCTGCTCGTTATCTCCATTAGTGTTTCATTTATTTGCACATGCAACAATTAGCCACTTCTTTTTTCCAAACCTATCCGGATGTCGGAATCGGGAGAAGTTACCATCCTGTTGACCAGTTTTACTTCACTTGTATTGCGACAATCCAAGCGAAATTCATAAATCAACTAAGCATATATATACGATCCCAATAGAACACAGAAAACATACAAAATTAATTATATACATTCAAAAACAAACTACGTACGTCAAAAGATCGGTAGCAAAATGCATCAGTTATGAAATTTATGAAGATTACCCTGGATATTAATAGCTGCATTTCCAATTCAGCAATACGTCTGCCAACGCACATTCTTGGTCCAAAGCTAAATGCTGTATGACCAAAAGGATTAAAACGATGTTGAGCGGATGATCTTATCCATCGCTCAGGCTTTATCTTTGTTGGCTCATCATGAAACGATTCATCGAATGACATCATATGGTAACCGACGAGTACTTTAGTCTAGAAACAATTTAAAAAATATTAACTGAGGTAATGGGTAAGTTACACTTAATATAAAGAGGTTAACAACTACGGAACTCTAAATCGATAATCAATTCAACAAAATATGTTAACTTAGTAAGATTACACTAGCAGTTAATGAGCCCAATACTATAAAACATGACTCGATCGTCAATCTCTATCACTTGCTTAATAATTAATGATTAATTATCAGTTATCAGATAACGATGAATGGAATTTGAATTACTAAACATATAATATGATATATTGGTATATCAATATTCTGTACCTTAGCTGGAATTTGATATCCACCTAATACTGTGTCTTTATCAAGAATTCGAGCAGTCACAATGGCGACCGGATACATACTAGTTGTTGTTTAAACATACAATTCCGGTTTAGCAGATTATCTAAATTAAACAATGTCTATTCTACTCTCTCATACCGTTGACACTCCTTGATTAAGCCTCTGAGGTACGGCATCTTCTGAACAGATAGACTATTTGGATGTTCGCCTTTCTTCATTACACTGCATACCTCTTGATATAACTTTTCTTGAATATCTGGATGTTTTCCCAATACATACAATGTCCACAGCATTGTGTTAGCTGACTATAGGATTATGCATCAAAATTGGTAAAAACGCGATTGTACTTAAAATTTTTAATTAAATTATACCGACTGCATGTAGTAAATGAGGATTGAAATAATTTCAAATTAATTTTAAAATTATTATCAACAATGCTCTTCAAGCTAGAATACAAGGTATATTTTACCGTATCTACTCCACCAATCATTAAATCCATGATATTTCCCACAATTTCATCTTTGTTTAATTCACTTCGTAGGAGAACATACGGTAAAAATTCTATTTCTTCGCTGTGATGAAGATCAATCGATTTACGTGAATCTTCACTTATGCTCTGTTGCAGTTTCTGATACTCCTCGTCGACGAGCTGCTCAGCTATCTCAAACATTGTATCCCATATTTTACAGTAATCGTTCCAACGTTTAGTTTTAATATATTTGTAGTAAGGAGGCAACAATGTTATTTCATTACTTTTATCGAACATTAAACACACGCTACGATAAAATTTCACAGCAATAGGATTTGGAGGATCTTCAAAGGTTCCAAGTTTTTTATTGTATAGTACAGTATTGATAGCTATAATATTAATAAATAGGAAAATTATGTTAATAGTCTTTACCTGATATTATGCGAATTTATACAGTAGTAGTAGGATCTACTTGTACACTGATAGCTAATTGTATCGCAGGTGATATGCAATAACAAAAGCACGTTATAATTTTTGTACAATGTGTCAATATTTTGCTATACATCGCTTTCTACTCGTGTCGTCTCGTGCTTTATAAAACGTATATTGTATCTATTAATTGTATTAGTTAATAGTAATTATATAGCGAAAACAGACCAGAAATAACAGGCTTTACAATTAGATAGAGTTGTAACACTACAGTAATACTAAAATAAAGCATTGGTTTATCTCTAACGACTGCGAAATATTTATATATCAAATCAATCTTAACAGTTTTAGAATTACAATTCTTGCAGTAATATACTAACAGTAAGAAGTCTGAGAGTAAAGTTAGTATAGTTAGAATAGACATAAGTGCATAGTGGCAATACTTAAGCATTGTAATACAGATTTATGCAATACTGTAGGTAGATTATACTGATTTTAATCGAATTAAAATTACGCTCTGCCTTATAAAAGCTGCAAGTTTATTATAATACGAATCGATTCTTACTTTCAAAAGACCATTTGTATAAAGAATCCTTCAAATCTTTAATTTCTCCGTCCATATTATCTTCTTGTCGCTTTTTATCCAAGTGCATTAGAAAATCGGTAATAGCGTCGTTCATTCTATCGCTGTATGCGGCAGCGTCTTTGACCTTTAGTAGCTTTTTATCCATAACGCTTCTAAATTTTCGCCACTCTTTACCTTCTCTACAGTAGAGTAGTTAGCAGAACAGTAGATTATGTTATCACTAAATTGACATAATTAGGTTATTATTCTAGCTTCAACACTGCTGGAATGATAATACTGTTAAGAAATAAAGAGCTCAAAAGACACTGTTCATAAATTTAAAACCTAAGGCATTTGTAAGTTTAATTGCAGCTCATATCCGGATTTCTTCTAACCTAAAGTACTTGTCAATTCTACTACAGACTATGCCCGGGTTACTGCTGACTTTAAGCATTAATAGGATCTGGATTACTACAGCTCAATTCTCGAATTACATTTAAATTAAGGCATTCGTAAGTTGAGTTACTACTCAAGTCTGAACTACATTTAATTTAATCTTAAAGTATTACTAAGGTCTGTTATTAAGGTCCGAATTACTTGTAACTTAAAGCATTCGCGATTTCTATTGCAACTATCAAGTCCGAATTACTTGTTACTTTAAGAATTAGTGAGCTATATTGCAACTCATATCTGAATTTCTTAATTAAAGTAGTAACAAGATTCAATTACATTTCACGCCTGAATCACTTCTTACTTAACAAAAATAATGTTAAGTTCTATTATACCTCATGTCTGGATTACTTCTAACTTAAAACGTTAGTGAGTTGGATTTCCAGCTCACATCTAGGTTACTACGATTAACTTACCCGAGTAGGAGGCCCTTGGCTTTCTTTCGTTGTTCCCTATAAATCTTCCATGGTAATGCTGGACCACGAGCAGGATATTTCCCTTCCGCTTGAAAAACCTTAGCGACATCTTCTGGCTTATACACAAACACATATGAAAGATTTCCGATCTTATCTCGATAGACTGGACCATATTTTTGAGCATTCATAGCGAAATATAAGTGTAAATTCTTTTGATAATATCTATTATTTTTAAGGATTGTTGGTAAAGACCCAATTAACGGTAAACCATCGGTTTTAGGCATCTCTTGAAATGGTTTAGCACGATGATAGTCATCATCGTTGCCCTTTCCTTTTTCAATTTTGATTTCGGCTGTTGATTGAAATACAACTTTATTGAGCAATATAGGCCGAATAGCAGCCAATGATACCGGCGAAATTTTGGATAGTGGTTTGAACATTTCAATCACGATAGACTGAATCCTATAAAATAATAATTAACGACTATTCTTATACTCAATTGTACAACCTTCCTTGATAAGCGTTGATTTCTCTGGGTCTTAATCTCTTTTACTGATTCAAATAGCTTACAATCTCTGCGTCTTATTCACCGATGGACATTGCCTGTAAATGAGTATAACAATTTAATCAATGTTGATACTATATATTATAGTCTCTAGGCAAGGGTGTCAAATAGTCGGTGATTACTAAAATAGAGTGACTTAAGACTACTTTTTCATAGCTGAATGTGAGGCTGACTATCTTACTGATCTTGGTTTACCGTGTACTGTAATCTTTACTGTCTATGCTATGAGCGTTGTGTGGTAAACAAACACCCAGTTGTCCGCTAAACCTTCAATGAACACTACCATACTATAGGAACTCCTCTAATAACTTGCTATTGATTTCTTATTTCCATTCTAATTTTATGACAACATGCAGCTGCCCGGTATTTTGTAAACCCATTCTCCTGCATTGCCCGTGACGTAAACTGTTATGGACCAAGTATGTAAACAACACATGACTGAAAATTATCGAATCATCATGTGACTAATAAATGATTGTAGTTTGTATAGGTGATGAAATCCAAGCTCTTGATAAAACCAGCTATAAGTAAACATTGACCTTGAATAGAACTGCAACCTGCAGCTGCCTTGCTTGATTATAGATGTATCAAAAAATTACACTGTGACTAATAAATGATTGCAGTTTGCATAGATGATGAAATCCAAGCTCTTGATAAATCCAGCTATGAGCAAACATTGACCTTGAATAGAATTGCAACCTGCAGCTGCCTTGCTTGATTACAGATGTATCAAAAAAACTACAGTAGCAATCGGATAAAAATACAGCCTTGCACTCAATTAAAGTCTTGGTAACACAAGTTATTTTTAGGCTTTTTACTTATTCACCTCTAGATTCTAACTTGTTTAATGTAGAAAAGTAACTTGTACCATGAAAATTGATAATACCATAAAGTCAAATTTTTCATTGAATTAAGGTATATTGACAACTTATTCATAGTTTTATTACGAATAAACGACTGTCGTCTCAGTCTTTCATATCTATTCAGCAATCCGATTAATATCAAACCTTTCGCTGAGTTAAATATTGTTAAAGAGGTTTGTATTATAAAATTTTTTTTGCGCCATTAGATTTAGATTTAATTTCTAAACTTGAGTCTGGATAAATTAATTTTCACCCTGACTAGAACATATATATGAATAGAGTTCAATTCAGATTTTTAGAGATTTTTGCCAAAAGTGTTAAGGTTACATAGGATTATTTTACATTGTACTAGTATGTGATTGCAAAACTTACTGAGCTATTACAAATTTTAATACCCATTATAAACGGGCAAGAAACTTGTCTATCATAAATATTCTACTGATAACTTAGTAAAAGTTCCAACGGTGATATATTGCAAATGAATAGATAACATCAGTAAGATCTACAGTAATGAAAATCAAGTATGGAAAACTTGATAGAATAATCTGGTTATCTAAATTAATCCAATATCGAGTAGTAAGTATCAAACACTGCTACTATATGCCTAAGCTTGATATGAGTTCCTATTTCAAAACAAAAGTCACGATTTTATAATCTCTTTATTGGAATATTTTAATTTCATGCTCTATCTCACATTTTAATCTATTAGCTACCGTACTTTTACAACACATTTAAATTAGTAACATCCTGGAAATACTTCAAATACCGTACTAGTATGGCAAGCTCATACAAAATGTAAAATTTGAGCAACCTCTTACGATTCTACATTACACTATATAAATATTCTCAATTTTAAATATCATGAAATAAATCATCCAGCGTAAGATTATTCACGTGTTAATTGACTAGGTAGTTTCATAAATCATCTCATGGGCACAACCATCACTAACTACTCCGTACAAGCAACATTTCATTAATTCGATCTTACGTGTACATATACATACAAATCATGAATCATGTATTCTCGACCAAAAATGCTGCTAGCTTAGACATCTAACTTCGCGTATAGAGATGGAACAGTAACCGAAGACCATGTACGTATTAATATCTACCATTATCATTATTTTATATACTCGTACATACAATAATTAACCGCTCCTTTTTTCAAACCGTATGCGAATATCGGAATCTGGGGAACCTATTATCCTGATAGCCAGTTCAACTTTACTCGTATTGCGACACTCCAATCGATATTCACAAATCAACTAATTTGGTAAAATCGAATTAAAAGCATTAAAAATAAATACGTAAAAAAATTACGTTATTAAGACCAATTACAAATGCCACTTTGCTTTGAAATTATGAAGATTACCCTAGCTAGCAGCAGTTGCATCTCCAATTCTGCTATGCGTCTGCCAACGCACATTCTTGGCCCGAAACTAAATGCTGTATGACTAAATGGATTAAAACGATGTTGAGAAGACGATCTTATCCATCGTTCAGGCTTTATCTTTGTTGGCTCATCATGAAACGATTCATCAAATGACATCATGTGGTAACCGACAAATATCTTAGTCTGGAAACAGTATAAAATAACACAGAAATAATAGGTGATATTCAGAGTACAGTAGATATAGCAAAGTTGATAATTATTATAAATTGATGATCAATTTGATACAACATCTTCATTTAGAAAGTTCGCCACAACAATTAATTAATGAGCTCAGTACTTTCAAGAACAAATCTTCTATCAATCTTAATTATTTACATAATAACATTTTCGTTATCGCATAGCTATTAAGAGGACATTGCTTACCGAATACACAGTACGATATAGCTACATACCTTGGCTGGAACTTGATATCCACCTAATACCGTGTCTTTATCAAGAATTCGAACGGTTGCAATGGCGATCGGATACATACTATTTGTAATTTACATATACAATTCTGGCTTAGTAAAATTATCTAAATTAAACAGTATTCATTTTACTCTAACATACCGTTCACTTTCTTTTAGTAGACCCCTTAGGTACGGCATCTTTTGAACAGATAAACTATCAGGATATTCTCCTTTCTTCAGTACACTGCGTATCTCTTGGTATAACTTTTCTTGAATGTCCGGATGTTTGCCCAATATATAGAGTGTCCATAGCATTGTATTAGCTGACTATATAAATATGCATTAATATTAGAAAAAATGCGACAGTATTTTAAATTGCTATCGAAAAAGAGCATGATAAATGACCAACATTCTGCAGTTATCATTACTACATAGAGCAAAAATTGAAATAATCTCAAATATTGTCAAATTATTGTTAATAATAAACTTCAAGTAAAATTGTAGGGTATATTATTACCGTGTCTACTCCACCAATCATTAAATCCATGATATTTCCCACAATTTCATCCTTGTTTAATTCACTCCGTAGGAGGACATACGGTAAAAATTCTATTTCTTCGCTCCGACGAAGATCGAAGGATTTACGCGAATCTTCAGTTATGCTTTGTTGCAAGTTCTGATACTCCTCGTCGACGAGCTGCTCAGCTGTCTCAAACATTGTATCCCATATTTTACAGTAATCGTTCCAACGTTTAGTTTTAATATATTTATAATATGGCGGCAACGATATTATATCATTACTTTTATCGAACATTGAACACACACTTCGATAAAATTTCTCAGCAATAGGATTTGGAGGATCTTCAAAAGTTCCAAGTTTTCTATTGTATAGTATAGTATTGATAGCTATAATATCAATAAATAGTAATATTATATTATTAGAGATTATTACTCGATTATATGTGAATTTATACTGTAGCAATTGCATCCTCTTATACACAGATAGCCAACGGTAACGTCGTTAAATTTTGACAACATAAAATCATATCATAGTAATTGTTAGGTGTATCAGTATGTTTTTATAAACTACACTTTCTAATCATATCATCATCGGTTTCTATAGCATATATATTACATTCATTAATTGTACTAGATACCAGTAATTCTGTGGCTAAAACGAATCAATAATTATATGCTCCTCAAATAGATAGATATAATGGTAAATAGTTATGCTACAGTAAGTCATTAACTTATCTCGATCAGCTACTAAATATTTATTAATTGTTAGCTGCAAACGATAATAACAGTTTCAGAAGCACAAGTCATATAGCAATATAGTAAGAGTAAGAAATTGACAATGAAGTTAAGCTAGTTAATGTATGAGTAAGTACAAAATTTTATTACTTCTGCCTTCGCAGTATCGAATTATGTAATAAGGTGGGTAAATTTCGCTGAACTTATTAATCGACGTTAACTTACTTTATATCTTTTAAAACAATACGTGAATAATACTTCTTGTAGTATGAATCAATTCTTACTTTCAAAAGACCACTTATACAGGGAATCTTTTAAATCTCTAACTTCTCCATCAATATTATCATCTTGTCGCTTTTTATCCAGATGTATGAAAAAATCAGTAATAACGTTGTTGATTCTGTCACTATAAGCACTGACGTCTTTGACCTTTAGTAGCTTTTTATCTGTAACGCTTCTAAATTTTCGCCACTCTTTACCTTCTCTGCAGTAAAATAGTTAGAAAAACAGTGGATTACATTATCATTGGCTTGAAAGATATTGCAATTTACTCTTTTAACTTCAATACTGATTGTGTGAAATTACAATTCAAAAATATGGAAAGCAAAGGTACCATTCAAAGATTACAGCTTAAGACATTATGTAAGTTCCATTACAGTGCGTATCCTGATTACTTCTAATTTAAAGTATTAGTAAGTTTTATTACAGCTTATCCCCGAATGATTACTAGCTTAAATTTTGAATACTTTCAATTGAACTCACTTCCAAACTGTTACAAATATAAATCATGAATAAATTCTATTAGAGCTCATGTCCGAATTACTTTAACTTATAGCATTGATAAGCTCAATTGTAATTCAGGTTCGAAATACTTTTAATTTTAACTTAGACCAAAAGTAAGTTTTATTAGCTCTTATCCGATTACTTCCAACGTAAAGCAGTTATAGGTACAATACAGCTCAAGTTTGCATTGTACTACCTTACTTAAAGTATGAGTAAGTTGCAATGAAACTAAATTTCCGAATTACTTCTAGTTGAAAGCATTAGTAAGTTCAATTAAAATTCACGTTGGAGCTACTCTTGACTGAAAAAAACGGTAAAAATTTTACTCAAGCTCATGCCCGAATAAATCTAACTTTAAACGTTACTAGATCCGGATTACAGTTCATGCCCATATTACTCTAAACTAACGCGAGTAGAAGGCCTTTCGCTTTCTTTCGTTGTTTCCTGTAGATCAACCATGGTAGCGTTGGACCACGAGCAGGATACTTCCCTTCCGCTTGGAAAACCTTAGCGACGTCTTCTGGCTTATAAACAAATACATACGATAAAGGTCCAATTTTATCACGAAAGACTGGACCATATTTTTGGGCAAGTTTAGAGAAATATAAATGAGTATTCCTTTGATAATATCCATTATTTTTGAGTATCGTTAGTAAAGATCCAATTAACGGTAAACTATTGGGTTTAGGTATCTCTTGGAAAGGCTTAGCCTTATGGTAGTCATTATCGTTGTCCTTTGGCGGTTCATGCGTGGCTTCGATTGTTGACTGAAATACTACTTTATTGAGCAAAAGTGGCCGAGAACAATTTAACGGTACCGGTGGAATTTTGGCCAGTCGTGTTAACATTTCAATGGTGATGAAAGAATCGATTGAAATAAGGATGATACACTGTTACTCTTATAATCAACCGTACAAAGTTCTGCAGTAGAATGATTTTGTTGTTCGCTTTCTTTCACTAATTCAGATAATTCTAAATCCGTGTTGTACGTCTTGGCGATGAAAAATAGAAGTAGTGCAATCCTTACCGGCACCGTATTCTAATATACAAGCACGCCGTTCTGTACAAATGAATAGTTAGTTAACTACGAAACTATACAGTAACTTGTACTAAATATTATTAATTTATTCCATTCTATTGTAATCGCATACAACACAATGACGAATAGACCAGTCGATAAGAATTTTTTACTGATCATATTCTAAAGCCTGTACCGGGTAATGTATTAGTGTGCGATGAAATTGAATTCGTCGCCATTTTAGAGCATGGCGCAAACACCTTAATAGGATACTTGACTAGAAACTCCAGCTGGCGTTGAATGCGGTAGTTCGGTACCGTAGAGCAGCATGTAAACTATGTTGTAATAAAATGACAATTATGAATACGCCAACTATCAACTACCAAATCCTAGACAAGAACCAACAGTATTTATAACTTAAAAACGCTACATATACAGAGAGTAAGATTATAGAATTTCAACTGCAAAATAGTCTGGATCAATAAAATATTGTAAATAGACCTTGTCTATAAGTTTAACGATTAAAGCTAGCTTTCTAGCTGTTTGGATTGAACTATTCAAATCATATGAATAATATACATTACAGCTTACTTACTAACGAACAGAAGAAAAAAAAGTATTTACAAAATCCTGAGATTCTCAAGTTTGTACGTGACTGTGTGATATATACCAATCACGAAATTCCAAATTTTAGAAAAATAAGGGCTTTTATTGAATCTTATACAAAGATTAACTACACAGCTCTACTCTAGCCGAATACTACTACTAAAAACTTCTAGAACGAACTAACAGAATAATCTAAAGTTGCATGCTTTTATACTTTCCGTAGCATTCGCAGCTACAATCCGCATGGCAACCTTTTACCTTATTTTACACATAGTTAAATTATTCTTAGTAAGACTATTCTACTGCGGACCATCATTAATCCAATATGGATACGACTACAGTACTTACGTAGACATCATTCACACCAGCCAAAGTACAATGAATTAACCATATCCTAATATATGATTTACAGTTCTATTTTTACCTATAGCCATATTAGTAACTCAACAGCTTACTGCATATAGTCATCTGTACTCTAGCATAGAGTCTCTACCACTATAGTCTATAGTTACAGCTACCAAATATCTCTTAGGATAAATATCTACCGTACATTATACTACACATGGCTAACAGTCTACAATCACAATACTAAGTTACATTACAGACTGTCTTAAGGCTGATTCCGTTCTTAGGAATGAATGGCGTACCGGTATATATCTGTGTATATAGAGGGAGTACGAGATAAACAGACTAGACTCAGTCTAAAGTTACGTTCCATGACATGCTTATTATATTTACTGTGCCCTGGTAAACAAAAAGATACGCAAGTAGACCATGACATACTTATTATGTTTATGTTTACTGTGCCCTGGTAAACAAGAAGATACATAAGTAGATATTATCTGATATATAAAGTCAAATATCAGTGATTTCAAGATTGCATAGCTCCACCTATAGTCTTATCAAATCATTATTCAATAAGTAGTAACATCCGACAATTAAAGTCAATCATAGCTAGGAATTTAAGCTATCCAATAATGACAAACGAGCCTAAGTAAAGAAATGAATAGCTGATAATATTTACACTTTGTGTTTAATTTAATGAAAATAGAATATCTATAACACGAAATTTACTTAACGATCAATTACTCTGTTTAACTGACTTATTATAGATAGTCTAAAGTAACTGCGATGATGCATTCAGCTGTGCTATTTAGTTTTCTTATGCTAGCGATTGATATTAGGAAGCTATCTAACTAAAATTGATTAACTTTTCTAGTTAAATTAAAGGCTAATTGCGTTCACGATATGAAAACGTGTACAGAAGTTATAGATCGCCCAAAATAAGTAGAAAGAATATATTCTGCTGTTCTATTTGAATTTTGTTATAAGTAATTGATGTCAGGAAGTTTGCAAACTGAAAATTGTTGCCTTATCTGATCAATTTAAGGGCTAATTTCATTAATGATAGAAGAGCATATGCAGAAGTTATAGATTATCGAAAGTACTTACAATTAATATATTCTGTTGTACTGTTTGGGTTTCTTGTGTTAGTGATTGATGTCAGAAAATGTTCTAACCGAAAATCATTGCCTTATGTACTTGATTTAAGGACTAGTTTGACTCATGATAGGAGAACACAGTAATTATAGATTGTGGAAAGTAATTTGAAAGATAAGTTCTTCTGTACAGTGCAATTTTCTGATATTATTGATGGAGGCTAGCAAGCTTCCTAACTGAAAATTCTTACCTTAACTGATCAATTTAATACTAGGTAGCTGATTTTCTCATAATAAGAAGACATAAGCAGAAGCTATACAGTAGATTACCAAAAATAACTAGAAAGAATATATCTTACTATACTATAGTATTTTGTATTGTTAGTAATTAAAGTCAGGAAGTTTTCTAACGAAATCATTGCTTTATTCGCCCAATTTAAGGGCTAGTTCTACGTATTTCTTCATCGCGTAATACTTGCATAATATTCTAATTGATTGGTTGATATACTGACATATTGTAGTAAAGGGTGCATACAGTTTATACAGTACGTGAATGATATTGTGATAGGTTCAAGCTTCAACTTTTCAACTTAACAGCCTGTCTTACTTCCTTTCATAAACGTCGTAATCATGAGCATTTCGATACCAGACAGTCTGTAATTGCTGATTGATACTGTCTAATAAATAATGCAAACAACCTTAAGCTAACTACCGTACTATGAGCATATATATGACGCTCTTCTTTTCATTACCAAGTCTCAAAGAGATTTCCCTACGTATGTTAAATCTCTGATTGCCTTCAGCTACTCGAAAAGTACCTCGAAATTGATCGAATTAACTTTAGCATTACATTTTAAGTCTACAAAGTAAACTAGAAAACAAAGAGTGAAGATAAATAAAACACGAGGATTAGATAGAAATGATCGCATTAGTGATATCGTAATAGATTTGTAGAATTGTATGATCTATTAAGTCTATGAAACGTATAGACCCTTTTTAAATACGAGAATATAATAATTAAAATGGTAAACTGTCATTAATAACCTGCGCTCAGTAACCTTGTAAGTTTGCATGCTTTTTACTTATTTATAGTTTACTTTAGAGGCAAGACTCTATTTCGTTGTTCTCGCTCTTATAATATAATAGGCGAATTTTCCACTATAATAATTACCGTACGATAAAGGCGATAAAATATTTCTCCAATAATATTAATTTTTCTTAGTAATTCTTCAATGATATGATAAATGCATTATCTCTACGAATATCGCTCTAATAATGTTATTATTCTTTATTCTCTTATTATAATTATTATGTACGGTGAATGTTGTATACTAACAACTACTAATTAGTTTAGAATTACACAATTTAGAGAATAGATAATCATTTTATCGTCATGCTTTATTGCTACTTTTATAGTTCCTAACATCGCTGTTGTCTACATCATATTGCGTTAAATTATATCACGTTGACATACAGTATGGTATTGTAGTATATTTAGATTGTACTGTAACTCTAACATACAGTATTCCTAAATATAGGTAGTTAAT